GGTAAATGTGTCACAAATAGGATAGTTTGGGGTTTTTAGTGTCACAAAAAAAAGTTCGGGGTAAATGTGTCACAGATGGTAAAGTTTGGGGTTTTTGGTGGTCTTTTCCCTTAATAATAAAGCAAATCTAATGGTTGTTTCAATCCCAAACTTCTACATATCCAAAAAGCCCATGCATACATTTTATGTACACTTTCTTTTTTTTTTGGTCAGCATGTACACTTGATCACGCATAACTATAGGTGGACAAAATTGGGATCCACAAATCTCTAACATTCTAATTTTAAATTAACATCATTGTTGAATATTTCATAAATCGATCATCTTTTCTTTTATGATAATTTAGTATTAAAATCTTTACTTATTATTTTTATTCTTCACTAGCTTATTTTGTATTTTCTTTCCTTCACACGCTAATGCGTGTTTGCTTTTACTATAGAATTAAGGAATCATGCAATAAATGTCACATGGGCCAATCATGGCAATTCATATGAAAGATGAAAATTCGGAGGATTTCAACAAGTGGTGCAAACATTGGAAACTGAGTATATATAGATTGGCCCCCTACCATGGCAATAATCATCCCACCAATTCGAGACTTGTTGGTGACAAAGGAACAGCTTGAGGAACAGTTCGAACTTGCTTTGGCTATGTCACCTAATAGTCGTTCACTTCTCCCTTATTCATAAATTTAAAGAGTCGGACAATATTACTACTCGTTTTCTCACATCCTGTTCTCGTAGTATGCCTAAACTTAGTGCCTCCCAAATGTCATCCTGCAACTTTTGTGTCTTAAAATCTCGTGAGACAGTGATCCACAAAACATTATCATAGTTTGCTTTTTTGAGGAGTATATTATGTATGTGCACCATAATAGTAGTTTTACCAACGCTCCCTAAATGCGTTGAGATATTTGATTCCTATTAAGTACTCGCAAATCTTTGTAGTATTTCTCTGAAATGCCTCTCCCACCAGCTTTCGTCCTAACAAGTTATTGATTTTGGTCTCTCTTGCCTCAAATAGCACTTTCGGGAATTTGCCAACTTTCGTCCTAACAAGTTATTGATTTTGGTCTCAAATAGCCCTTTCGGGAATTTACCTCGTGTCATAAGGTCTTCCGCTTCTCGCATTTGTACATACATGTGTTGATGTGGTGGCAAACAATCCTGACTCGCTGCTTCAATATTATGGAAATCATTTCTAAGCTTATCCACATCCGCCAACCAATTCGCAACTTCCATTCTAGGCTTCTTTAGAGACACGGTAAATTCTAACTCATTCCTTGTGTCTGCTTCTCTCCTATAGAGTCGTTTTAGTTTTCTTTTCAAAACTCTGTTCTCTTCAAAATGGTTGCCTGTGTTTGGATGATTCGTCATTGTCGCACCCTTGTTCGCATCTAATATCGCAATTAAAAATTTCCATCCGTTAAAGTCTCATGATAGTGTTCTTGTTGCCCCGTAATAAAGTAGCATGGTGGCACAATGATTAATTTAGGTAAATAAACATATTCTTGGTAATGACGATGGGCCTATCAGACCAGTTCCATAAGGTGAAATCTAAGGAGGTGGAGATTGTAATGATGATATCCATTAAAGCTTGTGGGAGACCTATAACTAAATGGTTTTTCCACGATGATAATGGCACAGTTGGATTGTGCTACACATTCCTTGTCTCGTGATTAATAGATTGATGTGGAACACTTCGATGTTGAGGGGCACCATAATTGGTTGCATTAAAATATTCAAGCGTAAGATCAATCAACTATGGAATTTTTATATCAAGCCATGGGTACAGGTAAAATAAGTGATCATACCAAAATAAAAAAACTCCTAAACCTATTGCATATGTTCAAATTCAGTTATAAACTTTTCAATTATGTAAATTTAGTTCCGAACCTTATCACGTTTTGCCATTGAGTTCATCTCAGCTAATTTTGGCCAGACATTGCTGATGTAGATGCTGGTCATCTTACGTGGCACGAGCAATCTTAACGTGGATGTCAACGGTCCTACATGGCATGGCCAGCCTTAACGTGAACAAATTCTTTTAATTTTGTTTAATTTATTTATTTTTTCTTTTCTTTTTCCTTATCTTTCTTTTCTTTTCTTTTTTTCAATGTAGCCAGCGACGGTCACCAAAGCTTGGCGACCCCTCTGTAAGGTGCATATAATGGATAAGTTTCGTAAGTATTGTTGCAGACGCGGTCATATGACATCCAATTGTTATCGAATTATACAAAAATATAAAGACAGTTCACAATTTCCTTTTTTCGAATTATTTTTAACTTGTAAGTAGCTTATATTTCAATGAATTAAGGTCTAACTAAACATAACACGATTTTTAGCCAAAAATTAGTTTGTTGAAGAGTTCTTTTTTTTTTTGGTAAGGAAAAAAAAAACTTGAACAACTCAAGTGAAGCAAATCATAAATTTGGACTCTAATTCATGATCAATTTACTTAACCTCATATAGCAATACACCTCTTTATGGGTACTTTATAATTGCCGTTTTTGTTCGTATGATGATATATTGTCATGTCTTCTTAAGATTCAATCTATAATATTCCATAGGCTTTGCTTTTAACATGAACATAATTGAACATAATGCGGTGTCATTGGATAATTATATTGAATTTTATTGAATCAGGTTAGCTTACTATTATTATATTGAATTTTTTAATTAGCAGTGAGGATCTGCATATTTCAATTCGACAAATAGAATGAGAATAAATATTATATATCTAATGTGGAAGCATTTGTCAGAAGAATTGTACTCATTGCAACAAACAATGCTTGAGATTTTTAAAGTTCTTTTTAAGTTAATTCCTTTTTTGTTGTGGATAAATTATTTTTTCAGAAATGTAAAAAGAAATAAGAAATAGAAGAAGTCAAAGCTACATTAGGTGGGGCATACAATGGATCAAGTGTCTACCCTGCAGCAAATTATTGAATCAAATTTACGTCATTGTATGATTACTTTCTGATGAATAATTGACTACATAAGTGGAGAGTCGCATTCATGTGATTGAGTGAAGTACTACTCTTCTAAACAGATTTTACCACGAATTATGTGTAAATAAACATATATGTGAAAACCAACCAAGCGAATATAGCATGACTAAAACAATTTAAAAATAAAGAATAAAATTTTTTTATAGGATTGCAACATTTTTTTTTAAAAAGAGCATTTACATTTTTTAGTTTTGTTAAAATTTCAGATATATTTTCCATAACTGCATGCTAAAAAATCTCTTTTCTTTTTTCTGTTTAAAGTGCTTAAGAAACATAGTATTAGAACATCTTTTCCGTCTCATATCAATCTTAGGACCCGTGAAATTATGATATTCTTCTAAGAATACTATAAATATATTTATTAGAAAAGACCCATTTCTTCTCTTGGATTACATCTCACACTAGTACCGATACTAACTATTCAAACATATGTGTTCGCGCGGGCTAAGTAATTAGTTTTAATTATTCGTGGCCAAATATGCAAATAGAAGATGCTTACTCACTCTTTGAGAATCATTCGAGCCGCTTGCCTAAGTGGTACAAGGAGGGGGGACAACGTCGAGCTTCCATTCTGTCAAATTCGAAAAAGTACCGAATGAGCGGTAGCTTATAACTACTCGTTTGATAAAACAGTGTGGCAAATTAGATCTTGACTGATGCTGATTGTTAATACTGGTTTTCGGTCACCACCCATCATTATAAAAGAGCATGTTGTACAGTCATTCAAGACCATTTTAGAGACAGACCTTGTCTTGTTTGTTATGTAGAAATGGACTATTGTTATGTAGAAATGGACTATTTTGCCTCATCGCAGAGCGTGCGAGTAGTTTACATGTTATTAGCAATGACGAATTGCTTATATGGGGGACAACCTGAAAACTGCAAATTTATGCACATTAAGAAAGAACAATTTGGACCCACCCATCGGTGGCCGCGTTGGTTTGCGCTCAGTTCCTTTCACGAGAAGTCCTGGGTTCAAACTCGCCCATCGGTGATTTAAGTGGAGGGTCGTGGCGGTGGGATGCTGTGCTAGCCCCCCTCAAGGACTAGTCGAGCATCACCGCTGGTTTGAGCCATAGCTCGCCGGCCGCGCGGACACCTCGGTTATCCAAAAAAAAAAAAAAAAGAAAGAACAATTTGGTATGATCCCACGGTTGCCATGGCAATTGTGACAATGCCCCATATGTGGTTCATTCTTGAAGAAACAGTTCATGATTGTCCCACTTTCATTGAAACCTAACCTTCCTAAAGTTTCCCATGCTTAAACAAAATTCTAAGTCTGTTGATTCGTTGTCATAACTTCACTCGATATTGAAAGTAAACCGTAATTGTTCCATATGTGCAGCTAGTACAAACACGGAAATGACCCGACTGAAAGAAGAGCGCAGAATAATTTTGCAGTTGCCACCATATAAACCTTCGACCTGAGAAACTCACGTGACAACACTTTAGAGGCTCGATTGCATGTGCGAAGGAAATAAAACTAAATGAATCGGTAAGCATTCAACAATTCCTTAGTATTACAGTCTAATGACATATGAAACATCTTTGCTGCAAGAAGTATAATACGTCTCTCTGGCTGAGGAGAAACAATTGGCTGTATAACACGGTAAAACATAGAACCTGCAGCTGCAATTTAGAGAAGCTTGCAAGTGATCAGCCATTCTGGCGCTCATGAATCTATGTTCCTCTCACAAAAAATAAATTGCCCATAAATGGAGCTACAGTGCAGGGTATTTGAAATAATTAGAGGTGCCAAAGTGAGTTGTCGCAAAGAAAAAAAAATTACTATAAGGTGAATTATCTATAAAATTGAATCTCCTTTCGTATGTCGATGCTCTATTCATCTTTTTTTCTTTTGTTGGAATATTATGCTGTGCTAGGAAAAAAGCAAGAAAGAAGAAAAGAAAACAAAATTAGAATCAGATTCAAACCAACCCAAAGAAATTAGAAAAGCAAAAGATGAATTCAGGAGAGAGGCCACGTATTCCCGTTTCTGTTCAGTCCCCATCTATTTTAAGTAATATAGAAAGCCTTTATAGTTTCTGGAGGGGCTAAGATAAGGAAGATTGCATGGACACAGGGAGGTCGAGCGAACTGTCGAATTTGTACTGACGACATGCATATAGCATAATGCAAATTGAAAACATACACCATTGGCAGAATGCTCTTGATTATGTTATTCAAAAGAGCTTCTCAAACCACTGGCTTCTTTCTTGGGTTTATAGTCTTTTAACTCTATTCTCAAACCATTGGCAGAATGCTCTTGAAGGTGGTGGCACCGTGAAAGTCCTGGATAGTCGAGGAAAGAATTCTAGTTCATTTCTGTATCTTTGGCACAATCCGGAGCAATAGTCCTTGACTAGGTACTGGCATGGGGTCCCTAATGTAATGATCATCTGAAGATAACTCCCAAGAGTACTGAGTGACCAGATAATGGATTGCAACAAGGGTTTCGATCCTCGCAAATTCGTTTCCTGGGCATATGCGAGGCCCTCCTCCAAAAGGAATAAAGCTGTAGGGCGGTACTGACTTCTGGTTTTCAAATCTAGCAGGATCAAACTTTGATGGCTCCGGGAATATGCTCTCATCCATGTGTGTCATGTTTGATGCCCAGAAGACCTAAATCACACATCAAATACCAAATGTATGTTAACCGACTGGTTCACAGACAGAGAGAACAAAGAGCAGATAGTGCAAGCAAGCATTTGAAGAGATAGGAAAAGTTATTTGCATCCTTACTTGCCAGGCCTTAGGAATGAGATACCCACAATAGTCAATATCCTTTAGAGCTACCCTGAAGCCACCAAAAACAGGCGGAACCATCCTTAGAGTTTCCATCGCTACTCTCCATGTGTACTTCATCCTGGCAAGGTCTTCCCAAGTTAAAGGTTCTCCTGAAGTCTTGCTTTTTGCGATCTCTTCTTGTTCTGCAAAAGAAAAACAAGCATACTACTTGTGGCAATAAGTGGGAAGGAACATGCTTCTGGGCTTTGTTATTAAAGTTGACATCTGGTTTTGGAAACTCCGACAAATTTATGTATTGATTTTTCTTACACTTGTCAAGCCATCCATTATCCAGCAAGAGAGAGGTCATTCATTATCCTTACGCAGCTTGGATCACAGTTCAAGAATGAACTAGGTTTGAGCAAATTCTGCTTCGTTTTGTTTCAATTTTCCTTCCTTTTGGGCTACAGGAATCTCTATGCAGATTCGACAAATCTAAAAAGATGCCGGGAATAGAGACTGTTTACCTTGAAGAACTGCTTTATAAACAGCAGGATTCTTATATAGAAGACGCAGCACAAAAGTTATAAGTATGGATGAGGTATCATGTCCAGCAACCATGACAAGCATGATATTGTGCAGAATTTCCTTGTCAGTCACAACTCGTTCATTTTCTTCGTTGCGCTTACTTAACAAGCTCGTGATTAAGTCTTGATGAGGAGCTGCAGTGTGCTGCTCTAGTTTCACCTTCTTCTCTTGTACAAGTTCCTTCAACAAATCTTGGACCCTTGAGCTTGCACGGAGGCTCCGATTGTAGCGTGTGAATGGCAGGTTTACTGGTATGGACCACATTCCCTCTATCATTTCTTGAAAGTTTTGCAAGAATTTCTCTCTTTTAGCTCCTTCCTCCATACCAAAGAGAAGAGAGCATATGATGTTGAATGTAAGGATTTTCATCAGGGGCAATGCCTATAGGAAGATAAAAACATTAGTGTTATTTACTCTTCTTTCGTTTATTGAAGAGATTATGCACATTCCCAGTATATGCATTATTCTCATAGTCGATACATGCAGAGGCCAGACGAGCGTGAACCCCAGTCATATGAGACTATTGAGTGCATAGACTATGTGTTTCTTCAAATTTTATATGTTTCGGATATATCTCAAACAGATCAAAGCAACAGTGTGAGTTTACAGAATATCGACATACCGCAACTTTTTCCTTTCCCTCCCAGTGCAACTCGATGTGCTTTCTGACTTCTTCGTCTATTTTTCCCATGTACTGCTTCAGCGATTCTGGTCTCAAGAACGACCCGATAGAGTCTCTCACGCGTCTGTGATCTTGGCCACTGAGTTCAAACAGACTGCAGTCTCCCAGAATCGCGCGGATGGATGATGGTTGCTTGTTGGCAAGCATGCTGCTGTCTCCATAGAATATAAACTTGTTTGCTGCTTGCCCGTGAATGAATACTGTCGGTTTGCCAAAGAGAGTGAGCTTTGAGATAGGTCCATACTTCCTCACTCTTTCTTGGAGCCATATTTCTCCTGTGTTTGTCCTCATGGCTCGGAGCATGCCAATGCTTTGGCCTATTATGGGGATTCCCAATGATCCCGGAGGTAGCATTCTTGATGATCCTCTTCTGCTCCTGCCTAACAGAAAGAGAACTGGTAGAAGAAAGAGAAGAAGAGCGATCAAAATGTTCATTGTTGTGGGTGTAAGTATGTGTGTGTGGGTGTGTGTGGGTGTGATGAGGGGAAAGCAAGAAGTTATAGACCTAAGTTTTTTTGTCAGTTTCTGAACTAGTATTTTAGGTGGTTGATTCCTTCTAAAACGTCTGATGAAGATTACTATGTAGAAAACGCATCAACTTTGATACAAGTTCAATTAAATAATAAAATTCTGCCGATTTGTACAGTAAACCAGGTGCTGTATCGAAAATTGAGGTTGAGATAAGACAGATAGCATAAAAATGAACAAATATTATCTTAAGCGTATCCGTCGTACATAAGATAAGGAGAAGGGGATGGAACGGAATGGGAAAAGCGGAGATGGAGATAAAATGGATGTGACCTCTTGTTTGGTTTCAACAAGGGAGTTATGGCCGGATGTGTATTACTTTATATCTGTTTCTGTCACCATCATAACTCATCCGAATGGGAGCAAAATATAATTTTAAAAAATGTGAATCCGGCAAAATTGAATCGTCCATTGGGAGCAAAACAAACATTTAATATGTCGCGCAAAATCCAATAAAATTCGTAGAATGACAAATGGGCTATGAATGTCGGAATTTGAAGACTTGAAGATCAGGTTTTGGACCACGACTCTAATTATTATCAGCGAAAGCTGGAACAGTAGTTCCTGTGCAATTGAGATATTCGTGGTGATACAAAAATATAACTTCACGTCAGCTCTCTCTCTCTCTCTCTGATTCCGATTTTTTCTGCTATTTTTCTTTTTCTTTTTCCCTTTTTTGGCCTTTTTTTCATATGGGGCCTTCTTGGCACAACTTCTATTGAAATATATAACACGGAAACGGCATGATGTTGCAAATTAAGTCAATGCGAAAATACCAGAGAAATAAACTAGGAATAATAAAGAACGTTTGAGATTTACGTGGTTCGGTCCGAATATCGATATCTACATTCACGGGGAGAGCCAGCAATAAATAATCCACTATAATCGGAGAATCAAAATTACAAATCACTTATACGCTCGAATGTTTTCCACATCTAGATTTAAGCCAGAACCCAAAGTAATGGATGTAAACTCAAGGCAAAAATCTTCAACTCCTCCGCACGCGATCAAGGATAGGTCATTGTGCCGTTCCTCCCTTGATTCGCATTTGTCCCCTTGGAGTCCACTGTGCGGCTCTCGGCTTGTGCGGCAGCTTCAAATAAAGAAAACTCTTAGAATGCATTTGACAACCGGTCAAACAGTAACTATTTTTATTTTTTTGTTCCCAAAATTAATTTTGAAACAGAAATCCGTTTGGTAAATTTTTTGTTCCCAGGCACAAATTTGCAAAAATTTGTTCTTAGAATCAGTTTTGGAACAGAATAAAAAAGAGAAAAAAAATTGCTTCTTGATTCTAGAAACAAGAATCAGAAATGGAAAATATTTTTTTTGTCTTTCTTCCTTCTCTTGGTTTTCTTCTTCTTCTTCTTCCCGGCCGGTGGCCAACGAGGGCAACGCGGCCCTCACCGATGGCTGGCAAGGGAGGCAAGGGCGAGGGCAGCCCTTACCGGATCTGGCGTGGGTGACCCTCACCGCCGCTCTCGCCGGCCCTGGCCATAGCCAAGGAAGGGGAAGAAGAAGAAAAATAAAAGAAAAATAAAAAGAAAGAAATATTAAAAAAATTTAAAATATTATTAATAAAAAAAATTTATGTAGTTACCAAACTCATTTTTGTTCTTTTTCTATTTCAAGAATAGAAATTTTGGGCAGTTATCAAATATCTTAAAATACTTAGAAATTGTTTCTGAGTACAAAATAAAAAAATTTATTTTTAAGTAAAAATTATTTTCAAAAATAGAATGATCGACTGTTCGGCTACCGCTAGCAAAGGAAACCCTTGATTTTATTTTATCTTTTACCGTGCGGCTATTCCAGGAAGAGACAGAGACCCACAGAGGATTTCGTCTTTTCTTTCATGCGACTTCTGCGAGCCACACCCACGAAAAGTAAAACCCTTCCTCCTACAAAGACACTTTTGCCCCCATGAGAGAAATATATAAATTGTAGAATATGGTGCCCGGCTTTTATCCTGTAATGCCAGAAATATTTTTCTGCTTTTCTCAGAAACTGAAGCTCCTTTCTTGAATTTTCCTTTTGCGATTAAATTTGGATATTTATCCGATCGAATCGAGTTCCATAAATGAATCAAACTCGAGACATAACTTTAACAACTTCAATATCGCGTGCCCTTGAAAAATAAAAAATGTTATATTAGTATTTTCAATCTCAAATCGTTTGAAACTGACGAAGTATTTGATTCCACTTATTGGACAAGTATTAAGGCTTAATTGCACTAACAAAATAAATTTAAAGATTTCTAATACACTTATCCCTTTTGTTTTTGGTTGGTTTTGTTGCTTGTGTTTGCCGATATGCTGCTTCTTTGGCGCCATATAAACACCATTCAATTTTGATGAATAGATGTACCCCATAAAAAATGTTTTTGACTCGGAAGCACTCCATATTAAACATTGTTAAAGGCAACACCGTCAAATTGCATCTGTGGATGTGAGCGGATCAGATCGCGCATCTTAATTGATCAATAAATGAGTATTCTTTTAACCAATACCTCGTAGCTAACTCATGATAGATGGTAAGTAATTCTTCACGTGATGAATAATTTTTTCACTGTGCTAGTAACTTTTTGTACTGACAGAAGCCCTTAAAATGTACCTTTTCTAGAAAAGAAACCTATTGTCGAACCTCCTTTCTTTCGCACCCAATGCCCTTCCTTTGAAGCAGAAGCATCTCTTATTCGATCATATGAGTCTTCTTTCTTCTTCATCCCATTAGTGGACCGATGTCCATGTAGCAGCTTCCACACTGCACGAAGTCTTCCTAGGAAATTAGATCACAGAAAAGCCGAGTCCCGTGTGCTCCAACAGTGTGAAGGATCAAACATATCCTGCACCCACTGCCCTTCCTCTTTCTAATCCTTTTGGTTTAGTAAATATGGACCTTTACAAATGAAATGCCTTTTGCAACAACGTACGGCACATGGAAAAAGTTTAGTCATCTGCAACTTCAAATTTGCCGGAAAGCATGCTCAAGCAGCATAGCAGCAGGCGGCCTCTCAGCAGGCTGTCTCCGAAAGCAGCACTGCAGGAAATCCTTTCCCTCGGCGGACAATGTCTCAGGTATTGGCGGAGCACTTTGCATCACCTTAAATATAGCTGCAGCCTGCATGAAATGATTGAACCTTAAACAGAAACTAAAGCCACAGATCACATGACAAAAGGTAATACGCACGGTCCCGAACTTCCAACAGAAAGCAGTGACACTGATCGGGTCCAAGGACTGACAGAGCAAATGAAAAAGCAACACAGCGTTCTTACCTGCGCATACTCGCTCCAAGGAGATATCCCATTCATACTTTGGATAATAGGACATCCCAAACTCCACATATCAACAGTATGATCATGATCAGTGCTGTTATCATTCACCATCAAGGATCGTACAAGCTGCAGGGTATACTATTCCATCACTCCGCCACAACAAAAAAGAATGCAGCATTGACGTTCACAAAAGCGAAGTACCTCTGGAGCAATCCAGTTTAGACTTGCCTTCAAAGAGCGGTAAGCTGCTTGTCTAGTTAGCTAAGAAACGGTAGTACATTAGTAAAGCCGAAGACTATTTGGTGTGTTAATGGAATACTGGATAAAATTGCAACATCTTCATAGACAGATACATCAGATCAATAAAAGAACTAAATTAACCACTTTCGACTTATGTTAGCTAATCAATGAGAAAAACAGACCGTGAAGCAATCAACAACATGATTTCAGTAAATGCTTCAGAAACTTGAAAAGAGAGCAACACTACCTTGGCTACTGTCCAGAATTCTGTTCTATGAACCTATACACTTTTATTTACCCCATGTTAGGAAGGAGGCGCTTCTTACTCTGACTAAATTCGATTGTTCTCTTGGAAGGCAGAGGAGCAGCAAAAACAACACAAGAAGAACTTTTCACCAAAGAAATTTTGGCACCTAACCACAGCAAGGAATCTTTTCCGGTTTATGCAACATAGTTGCTTTACCAGAAACGATGGGTAAAAAAGGGAAGAAAATCATTCTAACATTTCGTCCATCTATAATAGATTTTTGCACAGGTGAAATGCGCCAGACCCATAATGCAAAGTACGCATTGAGAGACCATAGATGAAGAATAACAAGCTTCCATGTTTTCTTTCTCTTTTTTCTTTTTGCACCTAACCTAATCTATCAGTCACCCTGACTTCACAATCGCAAGTAAATGAACCACAGATCAGCAAGGAATTTCTACATGCACTTGGTAATCGTGCAGTGAAGAGGTGGAAACTCACATGTTTAGCAATCCCAAAGTCGGCAAGTTTGACTATTCCAGATGCATCCACAAATAAATTAGCTCCCTTTAAATCCCTGCGCAAACCAAAGAGTTTTAACAGGTCCGTAGGCACAAAGAAGAAGGTCCAATTGTCCTTATGCAATATGCAAGTCATCTCATGATGCTTGATCAATGGTTTAGAATTACCCATGTATGGAGTTGTTAACATGCAGGCAAGCCAGTCCAGTCACAATATGGCGGGTAAAATTGCAGACAATCGATTCCGTTAGGGCCCCAAGATGCTCCTGGATATACATGTCTATCGAACCGTGATGTGCATATTCCAGACATATGTTAAGCCGATTATCAACCTGAGTATATATGAATATGTTGAAATTTTGGTGAGTCAAATTATGAATGCCCATTGAGCTGGAACGTACAGGTGCCATGGAAAGGTGACTTACAATTTCACTGCCGTAATATTGCAGAATGTTCGGATGTCTAAGCTGGCTAAGTACTTCAATTTCCTGTGTAACGGGTTGAAAAAATTGAGGTAGCAAAGCAATCAATTACCTGGAAATGAAAAGAGAGTTTCCCCAGCATATTTAGATCAGATGAGTGGATAGATGTCCTAGAGCATAACAAAAAAAAATTACCTGCTTTAACTGCATTATGCACTCAGCCGAATTTGGATCATCAGGCAATAACTCATACTCCTTCAACGCACATAGAGCTCTGGTTTCTCTATCATGTAACCTGTCAAAGTTTAGCTAGCTGGATGTAAAAAAATATGCAACATGTCGAAGTTTCCCAGAGGTAACTTACTGGTTACTTGCAATGTACACACTTCCGAAAGTGCCACGTCCAATAAGCTGGCCTTTTTTCCATCGACTTGCTAGTGGTAACTGCTCCGTTCTTTCAACAACTTGAGTATTAACAGAAGCTGAAGCTGTAGGGTTCTCCATCTATCCATTACTTTGAGGCGTCAAAAGAGGCACACCCGGTAAATTTGCGAAAAGGGTGATTACTGTGCAATTCTTTCTTCTTCTTTATCTTCTACATCTTAACTTAAAGTGGGGCTGAGGCGAATTTGTACAACAAAGGGTGAAAAGAAAACTTCCTAGCCTACGTTCCAGATATGATAAAATTACTGAGCAGTTCAAATATTGTATACCCGATAGTTTAATGTTGAAACAGTTTAATCGGTGTCATGTTGCTCTGATCCAAAAGAACGAAGCAGCGTATGTGGCACATCTTCAATCAACAAGTTTAGGCAATATCATATATAAAGTCTTTTCTAAACACAAATATAAGGGAGGTGGTTTTGCCCAAAATTCTATATGCACTTGATGGGGCTCGCTTTTGTTGGCACTTTGAATAACTCTCTCCATCTGCTCTTGTTTGAAACAGAATGTGGCTTGTTCTGCCGAGGGAGGGAGGTGTTAACTTAGTTGAACACAAATGATTGGTAAAAAATGTTCATGATGAAGCGGTCAGTAGACAGAGAAGTAATAATTAATTATTTGCCACTTTCATTTTAAACCCTGCTCGTGGATTCGATTGAATTGTTCTTTCTGTCTCTTTCTTGTATCCATTCCATACATAACGAAATAGTATGTATTTATGTATAGACTGATGATGGGAGCATTTAGTGGCTTCTCAACAGTGTGAAGTTCGGCTGATCGACCCATCAAAATCACAAAGGAAATGAAACTAATGAGTTCATAAGCGATCAACTGTTCCATTGTATAACAATGTCATTGCTGTAAGAAGAATAGCGCCCCCTCTCTGGCTAAAGAGAAACAGTTGGCAGTTTGACACTGTAAAACAACCATCCATTCTAGCTCTTGTGAATCTACATTGCTATTACAGAAAATAGAATGCTGACAAATGGACCCCAAGCGTAGTAGCTCAGTCGCACACAATTTCCCATGAGATCATAAAAGTGACGGTTGATTTAAAAAGTCTTTACCTGCAAGTGAACGGAGGTCCGGCGAGTAAGTGATACAGGTTACCTGCACTTGATGGCATTTTAGAACATCTTACTCGGGGTCTCCGCCAGCCTACTGCACCTTTCCAGATTGTACGCTCTTAGAAATCTGTAATGTCGCTGTAGAGCCCAATCAATGGTATGGTCCCACTCCGAAGGTCTCCCACATTTCCTCAAGGTCCAGAATTTATAATTGGGAGATGCCCCTGATCAGATAGTGCATTGAGATGCATGTGTTAATTGTGATAGAAAAGTCCCACGTCGCAAATTGGTGTGGTTTAATGTAATTAATATATCCCAGTTGACCCATAACTTATTGATTTATTCACTCCAACTCCATAATGATGGAAGTCTTGAGGTTTTTTATGCTCCATCTCGACAGATTCCACGAGATTGATAAATTCTGGGGTGAGCTCATCGTAAATTTTTTCTCAACCAATCAAGCCTCTCAACACAGGGCGGAATGGTCTTCAGTTTCGGACAGTCATATACTGTAACAAATGCATTGGGGATGAAACTTAAGGCATCCCACATAATACTTTTCAGTTGTGGAAGTCGGAATAGCGCCAATGTCTTCAACTTTAGGGAAGAAAATGGAGAATTTTCTCCTCCTCCGATAATTGTCCCCTCTATCCCTTCACAGCCACAAACCTTGATATCTTCGAGATTTGGAAAATGGGGCAAACACTCAGGCGATAGCAGCTCCCTAATGTTATTGCAATCTTTCACTTCAATCTTCCTCATATTTGGAAAAAATGGAGATGGTAAGGAAGAGGAAGTGGTGTTCAGAGGAGCGCTTGCGCCGTGATTTTCTCCTCCTCCGCTGATCATTTCCTCTGTCCCTTCACAGTCACGAACCTTTCTATGTTCGAGATTTGGAAGATGGAACAAATATTCATGCGGTAGCAGCTCCCTGATGTTATTGCAATTTTCTACTTCAATCGTCCTCAGATTGGGAAAGCGGGGACAAAATGGAGATGGTGAGGAAGAGGAGAGGCCGTTCAGAGGAGCGCTTTCCCCGTGAGTTTCTCCTCCTCCGCTGATTATCTCATCTATCCTTTCACAGTTACTAACCTTGATATGTTCAAGATTTGGAAGATGGAGAAAACATTCATGCGGTAATGCGGTAGCAGCTCCATGATGTTATTGCAATTTTCTACTTCAATTGTCCTCAAATTGCGAAAGTAAGGAGAAAATGGAGATGGTAAGGAAGAGGATGGAGTGTTTAGAGGGGGGCTTCCCTCGTGATTTTCTCCTCTTCTGCTGGTTATCTCCTCTATCCCTTCACAGCCAACAACCATAATATGTGCGAGATTTGGAAGATGGAGCAAACTTTCATGCCATAGCAGCTCCCTGATGCTATTACAATTTTCTACTCTAATCGACCTCAGATTGGGAAAGTGGGGAAACCACTCAGATCCCACCAGTGTCTTCATGCTACCACAGTTCGTTACACTGGTAATTTCGAGTCTGGGGAAGGCGGGGCCTCCAAGTGAAAGGGAGAATCCAGACTCATGCCCAAACAAATACTTCAGTTTCGAACACCCCTCAATTTGAAGCTTCTCAAGAGAAGGGAAGAGAGAGGCTGGGGAGTCACGAGTGTTGCATACTACTTCATCTACTCCATCTCCCCCAACGAGCACCACTAAATCGTCCCATTCAAATATTTGAAGCTCCTTCAGGCATCGGAGTAGGCCCACGCCGGACAAATTTGTCATACCATGGCAATTACTCCCCATAAAATACTCCACATCTCCCGGAATCAATATAGAATCGTTATTGCTTTCCTTTCCTACTCTCGCCATAGCGCAATTGTAAGAGCTCATTTCCATGTGATTTCGGTAACTTTTATATTGACTTTCCTGGAGGATCCACAATGACTTTCGAGGATTAGAATACACACGTGTATTTACAGACAACAATGACTCTTCTTCATACACACTGAGACTGAGACTGTCGCGATGGGGGTTGCTTCGTTCTACAAACCTCACATATTTATTGAAATCATCAACATTGCCAAAATAGCACTTTAAACGCTCCAATGCCTTCAATTGTATCACCTCTTCTGCCTCCACCGTTCCTGCAATCGTAAGATATTGCAAGTTCACCATTCTCCTCAATGTTCCTTCCAATAATCTTTCAATTCCAGTCTCACATAAGTCGAGGTATCTCAAATTCGTCAACTCTTCCAAACCCTGTACCTCTACCAGAGACCAACATCCCCTGGCGTCCAACTTCCTTAAAAATTTCAGCTTTCTTAAATGAGGAATACAAAGTAAGAATCTACAATCTCTAAGCAATAATGCTCTCAAATTTACCAATTCGGACAAGGAATCTGGAAGTGCTCTTATTTCACATCCACTTAGGTTTAGAACCTTCAGCCCCTGCAATTTCATGAAGAAAGAATCATTGAGCCGTACGTTTTCCGATCGAAGACTCCAATTTAATAGCAAAGTTGACAGTTTAGGACAGTTTGGTGACATATCTGGTGGAATGTCCTCGATGTCACCCCCCATCAAAGAAACTTTCTCCAAGTCTTCTGTCCAATACTCCCCATTCGGTATCCTTCGCAAATCCCAACCCGCATTTACCATATAAGCTGTACCCCTGATGTGTAATGCCATTTCTCTGATCAAATCATGCATCCTGATGACATCATAATTATTAACTTCCAGCAAGCAAGCTTTTCGAAGCATGTCCACTATGGCAAGACCCCTGTAATATTGTGCGTCCCTTGTATCCAATTCATCAAGGAATCCCTCGTCAATAAAATATTCTATCAATTCCACTTGTTCAATCCTTTCATCTTCTGGAAATAGCGCACAGAATAAGAAGCACTGTTTAACTTGAGGGTCTGACAAGCGTTCATAGCTGAGTGTTAGTACAGGCAAGACTCTATCTCCCATCTCTGTGTGTTTTGTATGGGATTTGTCCAGTTTATTTAATGTGTCTTGCCACACGCAAAAATTCTTCTCTCCTCTCAAGCTACTTGCCATTGTGTCAATTGCAAGTGGCAAGCCTGCGCATCTATTCGTGATTTTCCTTGCAACCTTTTCAACTCGTATATCGGTTAGCGGTTTAGGCCCAAGTTCCTCCACGAATAATTTCCACGCTTCTTCTTCACCTAAAGGTTGAATTTTAATCTCTTCACAATCCATTCGAGAACATACTTCAGAGAAACGAGTTGTTAGGACCACCTTAAGTCCAGCTCTATCAGGAATTCCCACATCCTGGAGTTTAAAATGCCGCCACACATCATCAAGAATCAATACACAATTATTCTTCCTTTCTAAATGCTTCGACAACATCGCTGCTCGTTTCTTCTCATGCTCATCCTCCATAATGCCAAATTTTAGTGCCTTCCAAATATCACTCTGCAACTTATAAACACTGAAATCTTGGGACACTGTGATAAAAAGCACACCATCGAATGTTGCATCTTTGAGAAGTCTATTATGTATGTGCATCATAATAGTTGTCTTCCCAACACCACCCATTCCATAAATACCCAATTTGCATACATGATTCTCCTTCAGACGGTCCCAAATCAACTCAATGTTCCTATGAATCTCTTCACCTATTAGCTTTCGTTCCAAAAATGCGTCTCCTTTGGCATCTCTCATCTCTATGAGCAGTGGCTGCGGAAGCGTTTGTTCTGTGAGCTCTTCCACTTCTCTCGTCAATGTCTCCACCTGTTCCTTTGGTGGCAAAGTTTCCGCATTGGTTTGGCCAATTATCTGGAAAGCATTTCTTGCTCTTTCCGTCTCTTTCAGCCATTTCCCAACCAATCTCCTCGGCTTCTTCGGAACTGAGGAAGCAGCAGACTCTATCTCCATCTGATCATTTATGTCCGCTTCTTTGTAGTCGAGTTCTTCCACTTTTCTTTTCAGGTTTCTTATCTCTTCATCGTTGGCATAGATGCTCCGTACGTTCATGATTGGAGAACCCCTGTTCATATCTAATTTATAAGACATACATGTTAGATTTCAATAAAATAATCTGGGGATATTTAAGGATCTAACGGAACGATAGTAACATATTAGATTGACACACCGTGTGATGATGATGGGCCTGCTGCATTTGTTGCCACCTCTGGAACTTGCACATCAACGATTGTTGCCTCAATAATGTGAGAGTCACTTGTATGCTGTGATCCAATTGAGGGATCTATGTCCATTGGAGTTTGCAATTGAGAGTGCTGATTGCAATCCTGCAAGCAATTTGAATTACCTACAGCAGGTAATTCATCATGCTGGAATGATGATGCCCCTGCCGGAGTCTGCTGGTCATTCATTAGCGTCTCCTCAGGATACGGAGATCGAATGGAACACTGTGGCTGATTTGGCGAAATAAGAAGACACGATTGTAGTTCCGCTAAAGCCATCGTTGAACATGAAATGGTTTCACCTGTGTGTTCATCAAAATTAGGATATGGTTAATGGGAACACGGGAGAATGCCCGTTGCAGTTAGTTTACTGGATCTAGTGGGTCCAGTGGACAAGTGCAACACATTTGATACTCTGTTATAAAGGTATAGATGATTGACTCTCTTAACATTTGAAAAGTCCTGATTATTGGAGATATTTAAGAGTCACTGGTTCCAGAATAGTATCTTTGCTTTGAAGAATAAAATGATGTTTTTTTTTTCTCAACGCCTAGATGAATGTATAGAAACTTATACCTGGTAATGACGATTGGCCTACCAGGCCTGTTCCACAAGGTGGAATCTGAGGAGTTGGAAGAGCATTATTTGGAGCTTGCGATGATGATGGGATGCATGGATCCACATGCGCTGTCCTGAGATTAATGGATTGATGTGCAAAACTTTGATGTTGAGGGTGCACCGAAGCTGGTTGTAATAAAATATTCAAATGAAAGATCAATCAACAATGAGACTTTCAAATCCAGCCATGGTACAGTTAAAACAACATTTAGAACTTGATCACACAAAATATCTACAACGAAAATCAACATCCGCAAAAGTTAAAAATTTTGATGAAAGAAATGGTGCAGTAAAAAGGAAGTGATATTGGTCATATGGAATATGCAATGATGCTCGACATGTTCCTGATTGGAGAACCTCTATTCATATCTTGTTTAAAAAGAAATCATATGTTAGACTTCGATAAAATAATCTGGGGATATTTAAGGATCTAATGGAACAATAGTAACAGTGTCGATTAATCTAGACAGACCTTGTGTTGATGATGGGCCTATTGCATTTGTTGCCGCCTCTCGAACTTGCGAATCAACAATTGTTGCCTCAATAATGTGAGAGTCACTTGTATGCTGTGATGCAATTGAGGGATCTATGTCCATTGGAGTTTGCAGTTGAGAGTGCTGATTGCAATCCTGCAAGCAATTTGAATTACCTACAGCAGGTAATTGATCATCATGGAACAATGATGCCCCTGGTAGAGTATGCTGGTCATTCGTTTGCGTTTCCTCAGGATAAGGCGAATCACGAAGATATGGTTCTCCTTCCTCTGAACATGATATGCTTTCACCTGTGTGTTGTTCATTGAGATTAGGATATGGTTGATTGGAACACGGGAGAATGTCTATTGGAGTTAGTTTACAGGATCCAGTGGGTCCGGTGGACACGAGCAACACATTCGATGCTCTGTTATTAAGAAATAGGTGATTGACTCTCTTCACATTTGAAAAGTACGATGTATTTGCGTTGAAGAATACAATAGATATTTTTTGTCCACGCCTAGATGAATGTATAGAAACTTCACAGGAACATACCATGGCTGTTTTGTACCAGTGACAGCATTGTGATGCTCTGATGAAGTTGACGCTCTTGGTTAGAGGTGAAGTTTTCCATGTCGGTCACCCCTTCTGGTGCTGGGAGTGACTGTTCCACTAATTCTGAGCTTGTTGGTGCATAACGAAGAGCTGGAGGCTGCATGTCACGTGACTGACACGCCACCTGTGATTGTTGGTCAGAGTTTAATCCAATGTCGGTCGGTGTATTTAACTGTTCCATATATTTGTCCAAATTTCGAAGGAGTTCTTCAAAGGAGAAAGGCTCCAGTGGTTCCGTGGAAACTTGAACGTTGGCTTCTCTGCTCTCTTCTTCTTCAGCCACCACCTCAGCTTGAGTGGGCATGTCACGTGTTTGTGGTTCCGTGGAGAATTGAACGTTGGCTTCTCTGCTCTCTTCTTCATCAGCCACCACCTCAGCTTGAGTCGTCATGTCACGTGATTGTGGTTCCGTGGAGGTTTGACCGTTGGCTTCTCTGCTCTCTTCTTCATCAGCCACCTCATCGAGTAACGACCGCATTAGCGTTCTTACGGGGTCTGGCACTACTGCGCAGATGGAAATCCCTTCATTTGGGACTTTAAGCAAGTGACATTTCACTCCTGTAAGGTCCCCAATGAATTCTTCGCTGCAGTAATGACAACGCCATTTGTTGTCCCCCAGTCTATCGACGAATTTCCAGGCCATATCGTCTTTGTTACCAACCTACAAGCAAACAGAGTGCATCCCATCATATAGTATCCCAAATCTTTTGTACATCTTTCTAACGCGCATAGCATTATTCTCAAGCAAATAATAGGTAACGTAAGTACAAAAGCCACCTGGTCGAGCAACTGCTGCATTAGCTTGATTATGTGCTCTGGCACTTTTGTGCAAAAGGAAATCCCTCTGTTTGGAATCTTCAGGAAGTGACTTTTCACTCTTGTAACCTGTCCAGAGTATTCAGCCTCGCAGTAAGGACAACGCCATTTCTTGCGCTCCAGTCTAATCACGAATTTCCAGGCTATATCTTCAACTCGCGGCATCCTGTCGTCTTGATTATCAACCTACAAGCAAAGAGGCGCACCCGATCATATAGCGTACTAGTTTTTTGTATATTTTCTTAGCGCGGATAGCATTATTCTCTAGAAAATAACAACATCCACAAGTACTAAAGCGGGAACGCCAAGCTGCAGATTAATATTCAACAGACCCAACAATAATTTGCTGTTTTTGAGACAAGAAAGACCCCATCAACTCAAAGAAATCTTGGAAATTGCGGACCACCTTCTCAAGAAAATAATTAATTCTAGGATTACAAGGAGATGTTGCCGGTGAAGCAAAATCCAAAATCGATCCGGATATTAACTTTTAAAACAAAAGTCCCAAATTCGTGAGAAATAGCGCTCATATCATCTCTTGTCTAGTGTTCGAAAATGGAGATTTCTCGCGTAGCTCGACCCTCTCGACGGGCTGCAATCAACCGTTGTCGCTCTCCCCCCCTCTCTCTCTCTATTTCTCGGTCTCTCTCCGCACTGTGCCTTTTATTTTTTTCGAGAAATCAAATGAGACGATTAGAACCTTTCCCCCAACCCTGTTTTTGCCTACACGAAGTTTCGCTCATCTCACAAGTCAATTTTTTTTGCCTACTACCCTCGTCTTCTTTCTATTTGTTCTTCACCCGGTTTGAAGCTGAGGACTTCGAGAAACCAGCCAAATTTGACAAGGTGCTACATTGCTAACCCTATCCACCGTATCAACAATTCGTGTATATTTGCAGTCAAAAGAAAATTAAGGCACGCGCATATGATCCGACAGTAAATCAAATTATGTAACAAAATTTTAGTGATAATATGAAAAGTAATTAAATTGAATTAGAAAAGGAAAAAGAGAAAAAAATGTCATTTGATGGATTCAAAAAATGAAAAAGAGAAAATCTTATTCCTTATTATCTATTTAGTATCAAGATATCTATGATCTGATTCATATTAGAATCAAGAAAGAGCAGTCAGGAGAAAGAAAACATGAACAGAATAATTAGTAAATAGAAACATAGAAGATCCTTAAGTTATGTCAAGAGTCGGCTGACCAGATAGATTTGGTGTCGATCCAGAACAGCAGAATCCTCCTAACAGAGCCAAACCACCGGAGCTGTGTATGCCCAAATTGCAGAGATCTCTCTCCTTATTTCACCAGGAACAAAAGCACAGGTAGAGAGATACACTAGATCTACAAAAGAGGAAATTAATAGAGGAAAATTAAAACATACTTATTGAAAAAGAGAGGAAAACTCTTTGGGTTAACTAAGCAGGAGAGCATGCCTTGGAAGGAGAATCTCGAGCAGCCCTTACACATCAAGCATGGATCCAGAGGAGCATCAGGAGTGCAGGGTAATTGTCTCCCGTATCGTTGCCATCAAAAGGAATGGACGGTGTTCCTCGACGAAACGCGTTCGCCTTTGAGCCAATTTCAGCTTCCACCGTGAGGAAAGTCATACGAATGTGCACCCAAGAAACTTTGTGGGCCCACGGATCTTTTTTTCTTTACCAGCCCAAGATAGTACTAATCATATAATGATTTTAAAAATTCAGTGTAGCAAATGAGGTGGGAAACTATTATTGAACGTTAAAATAAGGTTCACTTAATTACCAAACTCTCTAGACTTTGCAGAGAAAATGAAAAACTAAAAACAAAAATTACCTAAGAAGGTTGCCGCGCTACTTTCCATCTCGATATGTTTAAATGTCCAATTTTCTTATGTCTAGCATTGCTCGTTTTTTCCCTCTAGAAATGAGTTTGCATCGTATTAATTAGGAAAAACCTGGAAGTAGTGCTAGTTATTTACTTTGCATAAATCTCGACTCAAAATTTGAATTTTACCTGCACTAATTAATTAATCCAGGAGACCAATTTTGTATGCGGTCTGAATCTTTAGACCAAAAAGAAAAAGAAAATTCAACCGAGGGACGATTCAAAGAGAAATAGAAACTTTACCAACTTTTAAGGAAAATTACTGTTTGACGCTTAAATTTCTAGCCTAAATGTCTGATGCGCATTTTCATGAAAATTAGCGATCAAATCCGCTGATAAAATTAGCATGAATGCCGTGTTGATAGATACCGGACAGTGGCCTCGAGTCGAGTCGACCATTCCACAGTTCACACTGAATTTCTGATAATTTCCACAGAAATCGCGGAATTTCTGCAAAAGAGGGAGCAACTGGGTCCAGAAAGGACACGCGGCGAAGAAAAATCCTGCACGCCCTCATAATTGACCATACAGAGAGCCAGTGGGTGAGAAAAGACCCTCATAAATGACAAACTATCTCGTCTGTTGAGAAAGTAATATCTCGGTTTTTCAGAGAAAAATCCAGCACACCTTCATGAATGACCGGACCATACAGTGCTAGGAAATTGCGAAGTGCCTTCTCAAAAAAAGAAAACAAAACAATTAATTCTAGAAGAATGAGATCGTGGTGTACGGTCCTCTGTTCTCCAATTGAAGAAGATCTATCGCTTTTTATTTATCAAATTGATATTCGATAGACTAATTAAAATCGTTTTATCACAAAATATCTGAATTAGTAAATAATGAAAAGAAATTATTGATAAAAATACACAATAAGAACTATGCGTATGAATATTTATGGAGAGAGAGAAAAAAAAAGCTTAATTGATGTCGTCGACAGTTAACCGACAAGATAAATTTAATCCCCTTATTTGACCGGGAAAAAAAGAACAAATAGAGAGATAGATCTAGAGAGCGGAAATTAGTAAAGGGAAATTAAATTATACTATCGAAGAAAAGAGGAAAATTGTCGGGTTATCTAAGTAGGAGAACATACCGAGAATCTCAAATGGAGTTGCACACGTTTGCCTTTGAACCAATCACAGTTTCCACCCCTAAAATAATACTACTTGCATCGATATTTTGTGTGCCAAATAACATGGAAATGCCGAATTCAGTTCACTTATTACTAAGGTCAATCGCGGCCTATCGCATCATTTAGTATATCAATATAGTTACGCCATGATCAATTCTCGCACACATGAGAGAGCTCGGCCTAAAAGCTCGAACGAATAAGTAAAAGGAGATTACATAAATATAAGGCTCGTTGAAATCTCGTAAACTAATGACGTGGGATATTTTTATGGGAATTCATCTGACCATTTGCATTTCATCGACTCAAGATGCAGCATTATTCCTGACAAAGAACCATCGTGGAAAATTGCTGCTAAAAATTGCATCAACACTTGGGAGAACACCCATCGGGGGGGAACACTTCCCCCCTCCCGCCCAACAAGAGCATAATCGCGACAATCAATATCGATCTTTCCTCTCATAAGTCTCGAATCTTGGATCGTCATCACTTACATTCGCAGACACACGATGATCTTTCTTGATTCACCGGAAGTTGGTGATGGGGATGCGAGCCACTCTAGTTGGAGAAATGTCCTATATTTGAAGAAAATTATCCAAAAAATCCTAAATCAATTGCATTTTTACCAATTGAGTCTTAAACGTTTTTCAAGTTTTACCAATTGAATCCATCTTACCAATTTTGACCGGAAATCGCTGACGTAGACGGCAATCCTCATAGGTCAATCGGCCACAGTAGGAAAGTGAAGAAGATAAAGAGAAAGAAAAGAACAAATAAAAAATTCAAAAAATACTAAAAATTATCCACGTCAACGTCGATCGCACCAGCACGTAAAACGGCCAGTATCCACATCAGCGATTTCCGATCAAAATTGGCAAGATTGACTCAATTGGTAAAATTTGAAAAGGTTTATGAGTAAATTGATAAAATTGAAAGGTTTATGACTGAATTGGTAAAAGTGCAATAGGCTTATGACTTTTTGGATAATTTTCCCTATGCGACATTCTTGAAGGAAGAATCAAGAGCCTCCATGGCCATAACTTTGATACTTCCCCCTTCCCTTCCCCAATCCTAAGATATTGCAGGTTTGCCAAACCTGCAAATGTTCCTTCCACCAAAATGATGGAGTATTTGCTTGCGTTAGTTGGACAAATTTTAGGCTTAGTTGCACTTTCACAATAAGTTTAGGAATTCCGACACACTCTTCACTTCTCTTTCTTTATTTTTTTTATTTTTGGTTTTCTTGCTTGTGTTTTGCTGATGTGTTACTTTTTTGGAGCCATATCAATACCATTCAATTTTTATGAATAGATGTCCTTTGTACAAAATGTTTATGATTCGAATGCACTCCATACAAAATGTTTAGATTAAGCAGCGTTGTCAAATCACTTAGGTTGAAGTATGCCTTCGGTCAGACCATGCGAGAGAACATGCTTCTTAGTCTGTCGATGTACAAGTACTTATATAACCAATACCTTGTAATTTACTTAAAAGATTTGACCTTATTTTTTATAATCGAGAAAGTTTACTAACGACTGTGAAACATTTAGCTAATATAATCATTTATATGAAATAAATAATTATTTCACCGTGTCAGTAACTTTATACCAAAAAAATTTCTCAAATGTACCTTTTTTCAGAAAAGAAACCTATTGTCGACCCTCCTCTGCACCCGATGCCCTTCCTTTGAAGCAAAAAGTTATCTTTTATAGACTTAAGGGCCTATGTGTCCTTTCCCTGTGCAAGTTGAATTTGCCAAAAATGCGCTGATTTTCTACACTGTGATTCTCTTAGTTAACTTAATGAAAATTGACTACCAGCAAGCACGTTGGGTTGACCGGTTGAGTATCAAAATATCTACTTAAGCTTTTATGCTGTCATTCAATCTAATACTAGAGTATGACCCGTGCCATGCACGGGTATATTTAACTACATCAAAGTTCAATGTATTGACATGTCAAAAATCAGATAGAAATTGCCATTTCTTGAAGGACTCCGCATTATTTAGCTTAGTTAATTACTTTCTACATGTTAGATTTCAAATAAAAAAGTAAATAATATTCACTTCACAAAGAGAAAGTACAAAAATATTTTGCCAAAGTGGGTGGTCTTACTAATGATAAATTGTCACTCCATCTCAAGATTGATCGCCTTTTCGCTCTCCCGATGGTGATAATTAGTGGTGTTTCGAAAATTAACACAGGAAATGAGGCACTCAAGATAAATAGAGTTTCAGAGATAACATAGTTTTCTTCATTATAATTTATCAATCTCTAAGGCAAATGATTACTTAACATCTTATTTCATCTTATATTTATGTCTTGAGAATATTAAATACCGCACTTTAGAATATCTACTCAATTAAGTTAAAGAACAAAATTAGTTCTCTTATTTATTACCCGATCATACTGAAATTCCCTTAGCACTTTTATTGCTATTGTCTTTACCTATTCCATAGGACAACAGAGAAATTACATATATTGTGCTCAAAAAGATATAAATAATTATAACAAAAGCAAATGATTTCAACTTCACTATAACATGGATTCAATCAATAAATATGATTCTCCTTTTCATACGTTAATGCTCTGTCATCATTTTTTGTTGAAATATTATGGTTTGTTAGGTAAAAAGCAAGAAAGAAGAAAAAAAAACAAAAATTAGAATCAGATTCAACCCGACCCAAAGAAATTGGAAGAGCAATAGAAAAATTTAGGAGAGAGGCCACGTATTCCCTTTCCTGTTCAAACACCAGCTGTCTTAAGTAATATAGAAAGCATTGATAGTTTGTACTGACAACATGCATGTAGCATCATGGAAATTGAAAACTTACACCATTGGGCATTGGCAGAGTGCACTTGCTTATGTTATTCAGAGGAGCTTCTCAAATCACTGGCTTCTTTCTTGGGTAAATGGTAACGTTTATCCCACCAATGGGGATGCTTGATATAGCCAAGTCCTGAAAAGTTGGCACGGTGAAAGTCCTGGATAGCTAAGTAAAAAATTGTACTTCATTTCTGTTTCTTTGGCACAATCCGGAGCAGTAGTCCTAGAGTAGGTACTGGCATGAGTCCCTTATGTAATGATCATCTGAACATAACTCCCAAGAGTACAAAGTGACCAAATCATGGGTTGCAACAAGGGTTTCGATCCTCGCAAGTTCGTTTCCTGGGCATACGTGAGGCCCTCCTCCAAAAGCAATAAAGCTGTAGGGCGGTACTGACTTTTGGTTTTCAAATTTAGCAGGATCAAACTTTAATGGCTCTGGGAATATGCTCTCATCCATATGTGTCATGTTCGATGCCCAGAAGATCTAAATCACACAAAATACCAAATATATGTCAATAAACTGGTTTCACATACAGAGAGAATAAATAGCAGATAGTTCAAACATTTGAAGAGATAGGAAGAGTTATTTGCATCCTTACTTGTTGCAATAAGGGGGAAGGAACATGCTTCTGAGCTTTGTCATTAAAGTTGACATCAGGCTTTGGAAAATCTGACAAATTTATGTATTGATTTTTCTTACATTTGTCAAGCCACCCATTATCCATCAGCAAAATAGAGATCATTTATTATCCTTGCGCAGCTTAGGTCATACTTCAAGATTGAACTGAGTTTGAACAAATTCTTCTTCGTTTTGTTTTATTTGCCTTCCTTTGGGCTGCAGGAATCTCTTCGCGGATTCAACAAATCTAAAAAGATGCCGGAAATAGAGAACGTGTACCTTGAAGAACTGCTTCATAAACAGCAGGATTTTTAGACAGAAGACACAGCATAAAAGTTACAAGGACAGACGAGGTATCATGTCCAGCAACCATGACAAGCATGATATTGTGCAGAATTTCCTTGTCAGTCACAACTCGTTCGTTTTCTTCGTTGTGCTTACTTAACAAGCACGTGATCAAGTCTTGAGGAGGAGTTGCAGTGTGCTGCTCTAGTTTCACCTTCTTCTCTTGTACAAATTCCTTCAACAAATCTTGGACGCTGGAGCTTGCACAGAGGCTCCAATATAGCGCGTGAACGGCAGCTTTACTGGTATTGATCACATTCCCTCTATCATTTCTTGAAAGCATTGCAAGAATTTCTCTAGATCGGCTCTTTCCTCCATACAAAGAGAAGAGAGCATATGATGTTGAATGTAAAGGTTTTCCATCAGGGACAATGCCTATAGGAAGATCAAAACGTTAGTGTTATTTACTCTCTTTTCGTTTATCAAAGAGATTATGCGCACTCTCAGTATATGCATTCATTCTACTAGGGCAATACATGCGGAGGCCGTACAAGTGTGAACCAGTCATATGTGAGTATGAGTGCATACACAATGTGTATCTTAAAATTTAATATTTTTTAAATATATCTCAAACAGATCAAAGCATCAGAGAGAGAGTACAGAATTTCAACATACCGCAACTTTTTCCATGTCCTGCCAGTGCAACTCGATGTGCTTTCTTACTTCTTCATCTATTTTCCCCACATACTGCTTCAGGGATTCTGGTCTCAAGAACGACATGAGAGAGTCCCTCACGCGTTTGTGATCTTGGCCACTGAGTTCCATCAGATTGCGGTCCCTTAGAATCGCGCGGATGGATGATGGTTTCTTGTTGGCAAGCATGCTGCTGTCTCCGTAGAATACAAACTTGTTTGCTGCTTGTCCAAGAATGAACACCGTCGGTTTACCGAAGAGAGTGAGCTTCGAGATTGGTCCATACTTCCTCACTCTTTCTTAAGGCCATTTTTCTCCCGTGTTTGTCCTCATGGCTCGGAGCATGCCAATGCTTCGGCCAATTATGGGATTCCCAGTGATCCCGGAGGTAGCTTTCTTGATGATCCTCTTCTTCTCCTGCTAACGGAAAGAGAACTGGTAGAAGAAAGAGAAGAAGAGGGATCAAAATGTTCATTGTTGTGGGTGTGGGATGAGGGGAAAGCAAGAGAGTTATATTTAGCTCTATTTTTGTCAGTTTCTGAACTTGTATTTTAGGTGGTAGATTCTTTCAGGAACGAGGGATGAAGATTACCATGTAGAAAACGCATCAATTTTTATACAAATCCTATTAAATAATAAGATGCTGCCGATTTATACAGTGTCATTAGGTGCCTTACTGGAAATTGCGGTTGAGATAAAACAAATAGCATCAGATTCTGCCGATTTCAAAAACTGGAGTTGACCCGGATGTGTATTACTTTGTATTTGTTTCAGTCACCAAATTAATTCAACAGAAGAGTAACAAAATCTAGTTTCGAAAATTGTATTTGTATTTCTTAAAAAATTCCAGGAAAAAAAACCATCAAGGAAAAATCCAGCAAAATTGCATCATCCCCTATAATAAAACAAGAAAGAGGGCAAGAGAAGAAGAAGAATGCAAAGAAAATGAGATGGGACTGGAGGAGGGATTCTAGGAAAATGCAGTGAAAAATTGAAAATTATTCCAACTGAAGTCTTGATTAACCAGGAAGGAAAGGAAAGCTAATCCATAGGCTAATAAGTGAAGAAATCTTATTAGTGGCAAAAGCTGGAACAGTAGTTCCTATGCAGTTGGGATATTCCTAATGATGCAAAGTTCTCACTTTACTGCACCATAACTATAATTCCGTCCTTTCCTTACCAAAAAAAAAAAAACTATAATTCCGTCCTTTCCTTACCAAAAAAAAAAAAAACTATAATTCCGTCCTAGTGTCTGCTTCTTTACACCAAACGTGGCCTTATGTCATGTTTGGTTGGATTTGGACCTCTGATTGGTTGCATAGTTTTTGAGTCGACGGACTGGAATGGCATTCCAACAATCGGGGAAACTTATCTTGATCTAAGTATCACCTATATTACTAGAAATGCATTTAATATCTATTCTTCAATAAACTATACATATTCCACACACTTGCACTGTCTAACAGCAGATTCGGTTGTGTAACTCTCCCAGGAAGAAGGGAAGGTTGGTACTTCAATTTCCTACTCATAATGGGCTTGGCATTGATGAAGTTGAGGCGTATGAGTTCGAAGTGATGAACTTTGATTGGGCTGGGATGGAAGGTGGATGAAAGCAAAAAGAAAGTTACAGTGAGGATCCATGGTTGAAGATCTCGCCTCATTTGAAGGAAAAATTTTTAGATGAACATGGATCATGTGAGCATGATGCGGATGCAGGCAATAATTGCTCCATTTGAAGTTGAAGTTGGGGGCAACAACCATCTATGGAGAAGTTTGAAGTCAGCCTCGGCAAATAATGTTTCAGGTATTGGCAGAGTACTGAGCATCACCTTTAACATAGCCGCAGCCAGCATTAAATAATAACCCTTGGACAGAAACTAAAGACAGCACATTACCAAAGGTAATAAGCATCGCCCCAAACTTCCAACAGAAAGCAATGGCATGTAGTGATTCTTAAGGAGTTCAAAACCTTGATATTAGTCAACTTTACAGTAAGGTAAATCAACAAGGGCTACTGAGTATGTAATTCTCCACATGTAAGCAATGAGATCGTGATCCGAGCTGTTCAATCAAGTAGGAGACACCTCAAGAAACATGTGCTAAACTTTTTTAATGATTTGTCCGCACTATTAAATGAACAAAAGCAAATACAAAGTGCATTGTGGAAAATGAAAAGCTTTTTAAAGGCGAAATGATTGTTCGAGTCGGGTGTAAAAGAAAAATGGTATTGCTGAAAAATACATAGCAGAGACTGTGATAACCGATATGAATGGCAGAAAACAGAAGTACCTCGGACATCAGGAAGAAGTCAAGCAGAATGAGACCACCACAATGAGGACGAAAGAATCCAACATATGCAGAGCTCCATCGTATTTGTTCCAAGAGAAGACTCAACTTCAGTATAATATGCATGAAACCTGGCCACAGAGTTCGAAGTAACTAATTAGTATTACTATTGGAAAAGGAAAGTGGGGCAAAAAGAAAAGACAAAGATGGACCGTCATAACGACTTACGAGTTATGCTGGAATTAATTGAAGAATTAAAAATAGACAAAGGGTCGAAGCAGAGACTTGACATGAGGAGGACCCCACTCCAGCGACTCCCAACTTGCCTCATCATCTACACTAATCTCCCTAAGAGAAGGGAAGCTGTTATTTAGTATGGGCAGATGCAGAGCAATCCTCTTCAGCTTCGGACAATCCCATAATCTAATATATTGGATGGAATCACAATTTATCGTCCCATCATATATGCTCTCCAATTCTGGTAGTGTAAGTAGATTCAAGAAGTTTAACTTTGGCAAGGAGGAACAGGTGGTACTGATGTTTAGACGGCTTACTTCATCTCCTAGTTGTCGCCGTCGTCCTTCATGGCCTATTATCTCCTCCATCCTTCTGCAGTCATGGACTAGAATGCCTTGGATATTAGGGAGGTGGAGTAGCAATTCATGAGTAAGAAGCTTCCTCACATTGGGGCATCGCTCTATCCAAAGAGATGTAAGAAGAGAAAGGGCACCGGGTGGCATGGTTTGGGGAGCCCTTCCTATTATCACCTCCATTTTCTCACAATGCTGTACCGTAACCTCTTTCAGGTTAGGAAGGTGAGGGAGCAACTCAGATTCCACCACGCTCTTCATGTTGGCACAGTGCTCTATCACAATCTTTTCTAGGTTGGGGAAGGCAGGGAGTGGCGTTGCAAATATTGCTCCTGCTGCAGTTATCCCTCGTAATTCCTCACAGTTTTTTATCACAATCCGTCGTAGATGTGGAAGGGTGACTTTAGAACGATTCCCAAAGAGATACTTCAGTTTTGGACATCTCTCGACAGTAAGCGTCTTCAGACTACGGAATAGAAGAGGGTAGTCATGATTGTCAATTACTTCATCTACTCCTCCACAGAGCGTCTGTAAGTTTTCCCATTCTTCCATTATTAGCACCTGGAGGCTTTCAAGCGGGCCGATGCTGGACAAATTTGTCATACCTCCACATTTTCTCCCCACCAATCTCTGCACGTCTTGCGCAATCAAAATAGAATCCTCATTGCATTCCCCTCCTGCCCTGACAATAGCATAATCGCAACAATCAATGTCAATATTTCTCTCCGAAGTCCCAAATCTTGGATCATCATATACACTCGCAGACCACAATGATTTTTCTTGATTCACCACAAGCTGGTAATAGTGATGAGGGCCACTCTGCTGGAGAAATCTCATGTATTTGTTGAAATCAACGACGTTCTGGAAAGAAGAATCAAGAGTCTCCAATGCCCATAAATTTGTCACGTCATCTCCTTTCACTTCCCCTATCTTTAGATATTGCAAGTTTGCCAAACCTGCCAATGTTCCTTCCACTAATCTTTCTATACCTGATTTAAATAAGTCGAGGTATCTCAAGTTCACCAACATTTCCAAGCCCTCCACTGCTTTCAAATATCTACATCCATGGACATCCAACTTCCTCAATGAACTCAGCTTTCCTAAATAAGGAATATGACACAATTCCCGACACTCCCTCAACAACAATGCCCTCAAGTTTACCAAATCCGAGATGGAATTGGGAAGCTCTCTGATCCCACATCCACTCAGGTTTAGAACCTTCAACCCCTCCAATCGCTTGAAGAAAGACTCAGGGATCAGCACAACCCCCCATAAGCTACCATTTAATAGCAAAGTTGCCAGTTTAGGACAATTTGGTGACATATTGGATGGAATAACCCTGATGTAATTCTCCATGAAAGAAACTTTCTCTACACCATCCATCCAGCATTCCTCACTCAGAATCCTTGTCAAACCCTTGCCCGCTTTAACCATGGAAGTCGCACTCATGACATGCAAAGCCATATCTCTGATCAAATCATGCATCTTGACCATACCCTGATCATTTTCCAACAAGCAAACATTTTCAAGTTTGTTCAGTATGGTAAGACCTCTATCATAACATTTCTCCCTCTTATCCAATCCTCCAATCAATCCTTCATCAATAAAAAATTCTATCAGCTCAAACTTATGAATTAGCCGGTCTTCTGGATAAAGTGCACAGCATAAGAAACATCGTTGGACTTCATCATTACTCAGGCGACTATAACTTAATTTTAAATTTGCTAAGACCTTCTTTTCCATATCCATTTGCCCCATGTTAGATTCTTTCAATCTCTCTAATATATCCTTCCATTCAAACAGATCACTTACTCCTCTCATGGTTCTTGCCATCGTGACGATTCCGAGTGGTAGACCAGCACATTCTTCTACGATTAACTTCATAACTGCTTTAATTTCCACACTAAGAGCTCCAGGTCCAAGTTCCTTCAAAAATAAGCATTGTGCCTCATTAGGAGACAAAGGTTCGATTTTTATCTTCTCCTGACAATGCATCTGGCGGCATACTTCAAAGGACCGAGTTGTTAACACCAGCTTAAGTCCATCAGCTTCAACAGGGATACCCACCTCATCAAGATCAAATTGTTCCCATACATCATCGAGGATAAGTATAGACTTCCCTCTTTTACTTAATTGATCAAACAACATTGCCGCCCGTTTCATCGCATCCTCTTCTTTTAGATCACCTAAGTTTAGCGCCTTCCAAATGTCACCTTGCAACTTATGTATGTTGAGATCTTGCGACACAGCAATCCACAATATATTAAAATGGTTTGCATTTTTTAGGAGCCTATTATGTATGTGCACCATAATGGTTGTTTTCCCGACACCCCCCATACCGTAGATGCCTAATCGTGATATGTGATTCTCTTTTAGGCACTGCAAGATCTTCTTAGTATTTGTCTGAAATGCCCTTCCTGCCTCCAACTTTCGTTCTAATAATATGTTGACTTTGGCATCTCCCACCTCAAATAGTCCTTCTGGAAATTTGCTTTTTATGATAAGGTCTTCTGCTTCTTTCATCAACATATCCACCTGTTGTTGTGGTGGCAAATTTTCTGCGCTTGCTGGTTCAAGACTTTGGAAATTTTTCCTCAGCTTTTCCATGTTCGTCAACCAATTCACAACTTCTATTCTCTGCTTCTTCAGAGATAGAGATGCAGCGAACTCTAACTCATTCTTTATGTCAGCTTCTCTATTGTAGAGTCGTTCTACCTTTCTTTTCAAAGCTCCATTATTTTCAAAGTTGCCTGTGTTTGGATGACTCGTGATTGGAACGCCTCTGTATATAGCTAATTGTGAATCAAGAATTCTGCGTGTTAGATCCTAATGTAAGTATTCATCCTTCTCCCTGATTAAGTAACATCAGGATACATAAGGATCAGTCTAGATGAATAAACATGTACCTTGCGATGAAGATGGACTACTCGCATGTATGTCCAGTGGAGCTTGCGGGAAACATGTAATCGAGAACTGGTTATTCTGTGATGATGATGACACACTTGGGTGATGCTCCGTGTTCATTGTCTCAAGATTATGAGGTTGATCTGGAAAACATTGACGTGGAGGGTGCCTGGAAGCTGGTTGCAAAAGTAAAGCAGGATAAAATCATAATTAACAATCCTGATCAATCAACCATTGAATTTTCAAAAGAAGCCACGAGTGCAAGTAGAGTCAAAATGTAGACTTAATCCCACAAAACATCTACACTGAAACTAACATTTACATCTGTTTGATATTCTCATGTAACATATCATCAGTAAAAAATGAGAGAAAGTGCACATATGAAACATTCAAGGATACGCCTGTAATTGGGAAAACGTGGGATATGTTAAATAAGGAGACAGTCAGTAGAAAAGAGAAGGATCACTTCAAGGCATACCTTGTGATGATAATGGGCCTTCTGTGTCAGTTCCACCCTCTGGAACTTGGGAATCCAAGTCCAGATTCTCAAAAGTGTGAGGGTCAGTGGAAGGCTGTGATGCACTTGGCGGAGACATGTCCATTGAAGCTTGTGTGGGAAAGGAACTAGTCTCATTTCCACATTCTTCATCACATATAAGAAGTGTCTGTCGACTAGAATGCTGGACGGCATTGGTTACACTTGTAGCATTGGACAGGGGAACTGCTTCGGCAATAGGGATTTGATTGCAGTCTGGCAAACAATTTGAAGTGCCTACATGAAGGGATTGATCATTTTGTGATGACAACGGACCCATTCGATTCTGCAGGTCACTCGTTTGCATTTCCTCAGAATAACAAGATGGAATGGAAAACTGTGGCTGATAGGGCATATCAAGAAGATAAGACAGCCACTCTGCTGAATATATTGGCAGACATGAAGCATTATCACCTCTCCATTGTTCGTCAAAGCCGGAATGTGTTTGATTGGGATGCTGGGGAGTGCCAATTGTACTTATGTCACTGAGACGGGCACCAGGCACAGCAACACCAAGTCTAGTTGACTGATGCAACCCATTTGTCACACTGTTATTAAGGGATCGATGATTTTGCAATGGTGATGACCCTCTACTATTCTGTCGTTCATACCTCGTCTCGAGATCAATAGACTGATCAAAAAGCTCTGGTAGTTGACTTGGATCAAGAAAAATTGAAGCCGGCGGATCGGTTGAAGGTTGCAGGAGAGATGAAGTTTTTTCGGTTCCATGTTCATCATCCGAGCGTTGAATTGACCCATTGGGTTGTGGGGGCATTTCTGGATCACCCACAGGCATGTCAGCGAGACACAAGGGCTCTTGAGAGTGACGATCTACCGAAGCCGCACCAGCAACACTTCCATTCTGCCAATGGCAAGATGGTTGCTGTGGGACGTTTTGATTCGAGTTCTGCATGTCGTGGGGACTCGAAGCATGGTCACTACCAAGGACAACAATTTGGCCCATACCGTCACTTCCTCGTCCCATTACCTCAATAGATGCGCCTCCCCTGTGGGTTGCGTCCACCACACTTTTACCTTTCATCGCATTCAAAGCTTGTGATCTTACATGATCATCAACTCTCTCGCATGGTTTAATACCGTAGCCCGGAACCCCAGCGAGGTGTGCCTTGATCCTCGTAGCACTTCCACTAAAATCCTTGCCACAAAACTTACACTTCCACTTGTCCGCCACAACCTCCACATACCTCCGAAATCGATCAACGTCTCTAGGCATTACTTATTCTGAGCTACAAAAGAGGAGACAATTTAGAGCAGACTAGAGAAGAACGAAGTCAGACAAGATCTACATGTATAAAAAAAGGCCATACTAAACCCTTTTCCAATCACCCAGTAAAGCTGAACCACCCGAGGATCCCTCAGAGTACGTAAATAGCAGACATAGAAAAGAACCGACAATATTTGAAATTCCAAAGTAGCAAAGATAGATGAAAAGTAAGGATCAAAGCTGCTCTAGCTTCTGACCAAAAAAAGGAAAGAATCTGTTCTGGCAATCTGAACCGCGGAAAGGTATTAGCATCAGGAATTCAAGAAGGTTGCCAGTTTAAGTTTTCAAGGGTTTAGGGATTCGTCAGGCTCGAAAAAGGTCAAGGTCGGGCATTATATGAAATGGAAAAACAGAGTCAACGGCAGCCAGGAGGAGCAAATTTCTTACATGCGCTGCAAGGAAAGTACGTTTTGCGGGCGTTATCGGACCGGACCACATCGAAGAGCTAGCCGCAGGAAAGATTACACGTGGTAAGTGACACTGGAAACCATAAAAAGAAAATAAAAACCAAATCCCGTAAATGCAAATCTTGCATTTAGATACAGTTTGGCTTTTTCATTTTGTGCTATTGAATCCTTCAACTTTTTAAATCAGGCAATTAATTTCTTTAGCTCTTTTTTCGGGTTCGTAAGCGGGCATCTTCATTCCTCAACAAAAAAGTTTTGGATGGACTAAGCCTAATTACAAGCCGAAAACTTTCCACCAACGCCCCACAAACACAACAGAACAAACATTCAGGGCCCAATACAAAAGTAATGTCCCTAAAGCCCAGAGAAGAAACAACAGAAAACACCCAAGCTCTCGAAACAATCTGAAATATTGTACACGGAGCTTTATCTGCGATTCTGCATCATTCAAAGACGCTTTGTTTCCTGCAATAGCTTTGAATGCGGATTCTCACACCAAAGACCGCCATTTTAACAACACTAGTAGACTGAGGAACAACATGACTACGAAAAGCTTCATTCCTATCAACCCAAATATGGTAGATGGCACCATTCCAGATGAGTTTCAATATGATTTTAGTCAAAGACCTCCCTCTAGCAGCTCCAAGATCCCATTCTATCCCAGTCTTTAACAATCCAACAAACTCCAAGCAAACCCCATTAGAGATCTCCATCCTTCGAGAAGGGACCCTCAGAAAACAAAGGTTTCCTAGACTCAGCAAGAAGAGCATAAGACACATATGTCATCAGTGGAGCAAGCCAAGCTATACAGCTAAATTGAGGCGAATTTGGATTAAACCAGATGACTTGATGTCAAGAGATATTCTGTTTTTTTATTACTCACCTACTCTCACCTACTCCCAAGCATCAGCCTGAGTGAAGAAGCATCCAGAGGTATGTCCTTTGAAAATTGCTATACCCTCAAGAGCAGAGCAGGGGAAAGATTGTTCCACATATGGCTGCTTGAATATGCACCGACAAATCTGATCTTGGTGGAATTCAAACCCACTCATCTCCATTAATGACACCAGCAACTAGAGAGTTAAGGCCTAATGCAGCAATATATATCAGTTTTTGAGGGTAAACATCCAACAACACCCCATGAGGCTGCCAAGGATCATTAATAAGAAACTACTATGTTCATTACCAATAATATATCTGACATGTGGCTTTTAAAACACACATTGTCTTATATATATATTAGTTATATTCAGTAAATAAGTCATAAATGGGTTTAAATATAATATGGGTGATAAATGAATCATAAATTAATCATAAATGGGTTTACAACTTACTTAAACTCAATCCACTTTTAGAACACTCTCTTCATTCTCTCTTGCCCTCTTTCGATCTTGCGCTTACTCACGCTACACTCTCACCTCAATCTGGATATGAATTTTCTTATATAGAGCTAAATATAAAAGTTTTTTAGCAATATGAATTGGATTAGGCATTGGTCAATAAATTTACATTGCACGAAAAACAGGATAAATAGATTTATTTGGGTTAGTCAATTTTTCAATCCGACCCAACCCACTCATTTAACGGACCTACCTTGAGGAGCTTCCTTCAAACGTTCGTGTTGTCATTCTTGAAAAAAACGGACCCAATAGAAACATGTCCTCTAGCTTTTCTCGTCAATGAAATCAAATCCCTCCATCAATCATTGTTAGTGACATCATCAACTTGCTGATGTGGCATAAACCAGACATTTGTATATCAACATGTACAAGTCCAGCGCCCTTCCATTTTTCTCTATCTTTAATGTTTCTTTTCTCTCTTTTTTAATATGTGCATTATAAATCCAAAAACTTATCATGAAAGTATAATTAAATTATAAACTAATCCAATCATGACAATCAAGTTGTTAGACACGTTCAACTTAAGTAACGAAAAATGTAGATATGACATTTTTAAAGATATTTTGAGGACACGCGGCTCTGAAGTAACATCTCAAAAAATAGGCCAAAAAATAAAAATAAAAATAAAAATAATAAAGGCAAGAACCAAAAGAAAAACAAAAAAATTAGGAAAATGGAACCGAAGAGAAAGGGAGATGTGGGCCCCAGTCTCTTCAGGGGAGTGTTGACGCGGCTGCTCAAGGGTCGTCGGAGCTCACCAAGGTAGTCATGGCCACGGGCCGGTTTCGGCCCGGAACCGGACCGGAACCGGCCCTATCAAACCCGGGCCCGGCCCGTTGACCGGGCCCGCGGTTTGGAACCGGAACCGGCCCGTGCCCTACGGGCCCGGTTCCGGTTCAAGAAATTTTTGAACCGGCCCGGAACCGCCGGTTCCGAGCCCGGTTCAAAAAAAAAAAAAAAAAAAAAGAAAAAGCTGCAGATCTAGCGAGGGTTCGACCTCGCCGGCGTCGGGCAAGGCCGGCCTCGCCAGTTGCAGGCGAGGTCGAGCCTCGCCGGCGTCGGGCGAGGCCGGCCTCGCGTGCCAGGTGCGAGGTCGGCCTCGCCCGACGCCGGCGAGGTCGAGCCTCGCCGGATCCGGGCGAGGGTTCGACCTCGCCCGGCCTTAGGAGAGGCCGGCCTCGCCGGTTCTTCGGCCAGTCGAGCCTCGGCCGGCGTCGGGCGAGGCCGGCCTCGCCGGTTGCAGGCGAGGTCGGCCTCGCCCGAGGTCGAGCCCTCGCCCGATCTGGCGAGGCCGGCCTCGCCCAGCCCAGGCGAGGGCGGCCTCGCCTGAGGCCGGCGGAGGAAGAAAAGAAAAAAAAAAGAAAAAGAAAAAAAACAGAAAAGAAAAATTATGAACCGACCCGGAACCGGAACCGGCCCGGAACCGTCCGGTTCATACTTGGCCACGAACCGAAACCGCCGGTTCCGAACCGGAACCGGTCGGTTCCGAACCGTGGCCATGACTACACCAAGGGCGTCGCCGTCTCTCTCCCTGGTTCTGGATTTCTTTTTTGCTATGTTTTGCTTTTTCTTTTTTCTTTTTAGGCTTCTTGGTGCCATGCATTTAGTGCCAACTAGTGCCACATTTTGTAAAATCACATGGAGTTGACAGAATTTTAATTGCACTAATTGAATAAGTTTCAAAAATTGATTACACCCTCGACGTGATTTTAAGACTTCTAATGTTCATATCATTTTCTTTTCTTTTATTTATCTTGCTTGTATTTGCTGATGTGGTGCTTCTTCTTTGACTTCGTATCAACACCATACACCATTCGATTTTGATGAATAGATATACCTCGTAGACGATGTTTATGACTCAAATGCACTCCATACAAAACATTTGGATTAAACAGCACTGTCAAATTGTTTATGTGGATGTCCACCTTCGAGTCAGATCATCGTAGAAAAACGTGCATCTTGTCAACAAATAAATATTTTTATAGTCAATATCTCGTAACTAATTTATGATAGATTTGACGTTACCTTTCTAATCGAGAAAGTTACTGAACACTATGAATTACCTAATATAATAATTCATATGCTTAAGCTTTTTCTTTTATGAGCAAAAGTAATTCTTTTCAATGTAACAACTTCTAATGAAACTATTTAGTTTTTTCAATCGATTTATCGGTGAGTTTTCTTAAGGTAATGTGAACTTAAATCTATTCTGAAGTAGTAGCTTCTTTCTTAAAGTGTTAAGTAAGGGCCCGTTTGGTAACGTGCCAAATAGTGAAAATTTCTGTTTTTTTGTTCCTGAAATAGTTTGGGAACGTAAATGCGGTTAGTAAACTTTTTGTTCCTGGGCACATTTTTGCAAAAATTTGTGCCGAGAAACAGTTTTGGAAGAGAAACAAGAAGTAAAAAAAGTTGCTTCTTGTTTCTCGGCACAATTTTGAGAATCGGTTTTTTTTCTTTTTTTTTTTTTTTTTCTTTTCTTATTTTGTGGTGTTGTTCTTCCTCGGTGAGCCGGCCGCCGGCGACCGGCCACACGCCAGGGCCGGCGAGGGCGTCACGGCCCTCGCCGACCGCCGGCGGAGGCGAAGGTCGCCCTCGCCGGCGAGGGCGAGGGCCGGACCCTCACCGCCCGGGCGAGGCGGCCTCGCCCTGATCGAGCGAGGCCGAGCCATGTTGGCCGCGACGGCGAGGCTCGGCCTCGCCCGCAGATGGCGAGGGTCCCCTCGCCCGCATCGAGCGAGGCCGAAGCCCATTTGTCGGTCTCGGGCGAGGCCGCCTCGCCAGTGGGCGAGGGTCCACCCTCGCGCCTCGACATGGCCGGTCGCCGGCGACCGGCCGGCCACAGCCTGGGCTGGCCGCAGGCGACCGGCCATGGCCAAAGAAAAAAATGGGTAAAAAAAAAAAAAATTAAACAATTTAAAATATTATTAAAATATTATTTGGGAATAGAAATTTTGTGTAGTTACCAAACGCATTTCTGTTCTTTTCTACTCTAGGAATAGAAATTTTGGACAGTTTATCAAACGCCTTCAAATACTCAAAAATTGTTTCCGGGCACAGAATAAAAAAAATTCATTTCTGTTCAGGAATAGCACCCGGGCACAGAATGGTATTCATGCGCACCCTAATTCTCCATTAGATAAATAATTTTTTCACCATGTTAGTAACCTTTTATACTGAAAAAAGTTCTTAAATGTACCTTTTTTAGAAAAAGAAACCTATTGTCGACCCCTGCTCTGCATCCGACGCCCTTCCTTTGAAGCAAAAAGTATCTCTTATTGGACCATTAAGAGTCTTCTTTCTTCTTCATCCCATCTATGGACCTTGTGATCCTTTTGGTTTAGTAAATATGAAACTTTACAGTACAACATCCCTTTCGCAACAACGTATTGGCTCATGAAAAAAGTCAGTCATCTGCAACTTCAAATTTGCAGGAAAGCATGCTTAAGTAGCATAGCAGCTGAAGGCCTCGCAGCAGGCTGTCTTCGAAAGCAGCACTGCAGGAAATCCTTTCTCTCGGCGGATAAAGACTCGGGTATTGGTGGAGAACTTCGCATCACCTTAAAAATAGCCGCAGCCTGCATTAATGATCAAACATGAAACAGAAACTGAAGACACAGATCACTTGCCAAATGGTAATACGCACAGTCCCAAACTTCCAACAGAAAACAGTGACACAGATTTGGTCGGAAGCGTATCCTTGGAAGGACTAACAGAGAGAATGAAAAAGCAATGCAGCGTTCTTACCTGCTCATACTCACTCCAAGGAGGTTTCCCAGTTACCATTTCGATAATAGTACATCCCAAGCTCCAGATGTCAGCAGTATGATCGAGATCCGTGCTGTTATCATTCGCCATCAAGGATTGTATGAGCTGCAGGATATACCATTCCATCATTCGGCCACGACAAAAAAAAGAATGTAGCATTAACGTAAACAAAAGCAAAGTACCTGTGGAGCCATCCAGTTTAGACACTTCTTCAAAGAGCGGTAAGCTGCTTGTCCAGTTAGCTAAGAAACCGTAGGACATTAGTAAAGCCGAAGACTATTTGGTGTTCTCATGGAACACTGGATAAAATTGCAACATCTTCATAGACATAGATACATCAGATCGATGAAAGAACTAAATCAACCACTTTCGACTTATGTTAGCTCATTACCGAGAAAAAGGACCATGAAGCAATCAACAAAATGATTTCAGCATATGCTTCAGAACTTGAAAAGAGAGCAACAATACTTTGGCTACTGTCCAGATTTCCGTTCTATGGACAATTACACTTTTATTTACCCCATGTTAGGAAGGAGGCGCTTCTTATTCCGACTAAATTCGATCCTTCTCTTGGAAGGCAGAGGAGCAGTAAAAACAACACAAGAAGAACCATTCACCAAAGGTATTGCACTCTAGCGGGTACACCTCTTAGGAACTTTTCAGAAACCAGTAGAAAAGGAAAGAACTCTCATTTGGTTTCGGCATCTATTTACAGCAAGAAATATTTTCCCGTTTATGCAACATAGTATCTTTACCCAAAACGATGTGAAAAAAAGTAAAGAAAATTATTCAATAAGATTTCATCCATCTACGGTAGACTTTTGCACAGATGAAATGCCACAAACCAATAATGAAAGTGTGCATTGATAGAGCGGAGATGAAGAATAACAAGCTTGCATGTTTTCTTTTTTTTCTTTTTGCACTAACCTAATCTATCAGTCACCCTGACTTCACATTCGCCAGTAAATGCACCACAGATCAGCAAGGAATTTTTACATGCACTCGGTAGTCTTGCAGTGAAGTGGTCGAAACTCACATGTTTGGCAATCCCAAAGTCAGCAAGTTTGACTATCCCAGATGCATCCACAAATAAATTAGCTCCCTTTAAATCCCTGCACACGCCAAAGAGTTTTCACAGGTATGTAGGCACAATAAAGAAGGTCCTGTTGTCCTTAACCAATATGCAAGTCATCTCATGATGCTTGAGATCAATGGTCTAGAATTAACCATGTATGGAGTTGTTAGCGTGCAGGTAAGCCAATCCAGTCACAATATGGCGTGTAAAATTGTGGACACCCGATTCTGTTAGGGCCCCAAGATGCTCCTGGATATACTTGTCTATCGAACATTGATGTGCATATTCTAGATATATGTTAAGCCGATCCTCGACCTGAGTATGTATGAATATGTTGAAATTTTGGTGAGTCAAATTAGGAATGCCTGTTGAGCTGAGACGTGTAGATGCCATGGAAAGGTGACTCACAATTTCACTGCCATAATACTGCAGAATGTTTGGATGTCTAAGCTGGCTAAGTACTTCAATTTCCTGTGTAACAGGTTGAAAAACATTAAGGTAGCAAAGCAATCAATTACCTGGAAATGATAAAAGAAACTCTCTGCAGTATATTTAGATCAGATGGGAGAATAGATTGGATCCCAGAGCATTACAAAAAATTACCTGCTTTAACTGCCTCATGCACTCAGCCAAATTTGGATCGATAGGCAATAACTCAAATTCCTTCAATGCACACAGAGCTCCGGTTTCTCTGTCAGGAAACATGTCAAAGTTTAGCTAACTGGATGTCTAAAAATATGCAACATGTCGAAGTTTCCCAGAGCTAACTTACTGGTTGCTAGCAATGTAAACACTTCCAAAAGTGCCACGCCCAATAAGCTGGCCTTTTTGCCATTGACTTGCTAGTGGTAACTGCTCTGTTCTTTCAGCAACTTGAGCTGAAGCTGTAGGGTTCTCCATCTATCCACGACTCTGAGACGTCAAAACAGGGGTGATTACCGGGCAATTCTTTCTTCTTCCTCTTTTAACATCTTAGCTCAAAGTGGGGCTGAGGTGAATTTTTTTACAACAAAGGGCAAAAAGAAAACTTCCCAGCCTATGTTTCCATATATGATCCAACTACTAAGCAGATCAAGTATTATATACCCGAAAGTTTAATGTCGAAACAGTTTAATCGGGGTCAAGTTGCTCTGATCCAAAAGAGCGAAGCAGCATATGTGGCACAACATTTTCGATCGACAAGTTCATGCAATATCATATTTGAAATCCTTTCTAAACACAAACAGATTAAAGGTAGTGTTGCCCAAAATTCTCTCTTTTTTGTAGTAGGCCTTATTCCAGGATGATCAATCCATAGTAATAAATTGTCCTTTCGGCTCTAAGACAAGATGTGAAGCAGACTCTGCTAGTGCCTCGGCTTCTCAAACATTCGGATCCATTGTTCTTCGACTAACCTGAAATATCGACCAGATTTTTTTTTCTTTTTTCGGCCAAAGAGTTCTTGCCAGATCGAAATTGGACAACACACATGCAAATTCCAAGAAGGCAATTTCAAGTGAAGTTGTGCAGCATCATTAGCAACTGAAACATGAAGCTAGGACATCGGTGATACATACCTGCATAACCCCAAAAGGAGGAACTCCGAGGCTCGATCCGCCGTTGGTTTGGATAATGAATATGACCTATTTCATTTGTTTTTAATTTACAGTCCGCCGCATAACTTGATTTATCAATTTTAGCGGGATTTCATTTACGAGAGTGCCGAGAAGGGTCGCTTGTTATTAGGGCCAGCAAATTGACATAATCTATTTACATAATGAAGGCACGTCATGGAGCAAAAACAAAAAAAAAAGAGCTATGTGCCGAATAAAATGTAACGCTAATTACATGTACAATCATGGCACGGGCACGAACCGTTAAACCCTACTCGTTAAGTAACCATTCGAACGAGATTTCATTATATCTACAGAAGTCGGCCTTTCTCAATTCATGTATAGTTAATAATTTAAAACAAATATGCCGAATCGGAATCGAGGCACGCCGGTTAAGAGGAGGATCCGTCCATTCCCACATTCTACGCGGTACACGGGCCTTCACGACTCATCCATCGCACGGGCTCGCATTCGCGCCGTCGACAGCGGATAGCCCTAACTACGACAAGAAGAGGAAAAAAAACCCAACAAATCACGGGAATCAAGGTTAATGAAATCGCAAATTGCGCGCCAAGAAAAAAAAAACTAAGCTTTTGCGAAAAAGGATAATTTTGTTATCCAAGGATTTCAAATACCTGCTCGGTTGTTGCCATGGCATCCGGCCCAGACATCGACGGATCTCAGGCGAATGAGCCCTGAAAGCGCTACCGAGCCCCACAATGTCGCACTGCCGGGCCCTGCCCGTTGCCCGACGGCGGCAACCCATTTGAATCAGAGAGGTTGCCGCGCACTCTTTAGTAATTCAAAACTATTGCTCGAACGTCTGGCCCCTTCAGTTTCTCTCAGATTCCCGAAAATCATCTCACGATTTCTGGATAAACTTGTACCCGCCGTACCAGATGCAGGTCCATTTCGCAACCCGGATCCGATTTCCAAACCCGTTCCTGAACCCTAAATCAATTCCTTTTCGATCCGCGTCCCTGAGCGTCATCCTCAACAAGCTCCATCCTTTCCCCAACCAGATCGCCGGCGTCCACCGGATATCCGCGGAAATGGCGGAAACGGCTCGCTCGAACCCGAAGCGACCCGTCTGCCCGTCCTGCTCCAAGCCCGCACGCACCTGCCTCTGCGCTCGGATCCGATCTCCGGGCCTCGATCACCCCGTCAGCGTCACCGTGCTCCAGCACAGCCTGGAGCGGGGGCACCCCCTCAATTCCGCTCGGATCCTGAGGCTGGGGCTCAAGCACGTCGCCGTCGCCGCCGTTTCCGACGTCAACTTCGGCGCCGAGTTCTCGATCTCGCCGCTCGAGCGAGGCTCCGGAGTCGGCGCCGGTGGATTGGTCGGTGTGGATTTGGGTGCCCGAAACGGGGAGCAATCGAGCGGAGCTCATTGTCCCGGGGATGATAGGAACTGCGGTTTGATTGCCCCGAACAATGTCGAAGTTTCGGGGGATTCCCCGGTGCAGCAGAACTCGCGCTCCCGTGGAGTCGTGTCTGGAGGTACTACTAGCGAACCTGTTATCAGTTTTCGAATGGACAAGAAGGGCATTATCAAATCGATAGACCATATTTGGATGTCTCGAATTGGTCACCGAGGGGCTGATTTTGATGCCGTGTTAGATTGTGAGTCGGCTCGTGATGTTCTGTCGAATGGATTTGTGGTTAGGAAATTGCAAAAGCTTCCATTGAATCCAAGCTTGGAGCTCGAAGAATGTGAGGAATTCGTGCTCGAGGTGCCGCGCGGGTCGGTGCTTCTGTTCCCATCCGAGAATGCGCTAGGCATTGACGAACTCAAGGCGACTGAGTTCGAAGTGAGGAACCTGATTGTGCTGGATGGCACGTGGACGAAGGCAAAGAGGATGTACAGCGAGAATCCTTGGTTGAAGCTGTTGCCTCATCTGAAGTTGGATTTGGAGGTGATGAGCTTGTACGGAGAAGTTAGAAGTCAGCCTAAGGCTGGATGTTTGTCCACTCTCGAGAGTGTCATCTACACGATGAAGGCGGTTGGGGGCAGTCCGGAGGGGCTGGATCAACTGTTGGATGTTTTCGAGTCGATGGTCGATGATCAGAGACAATGTAAAGACGAAAGATTGGGTAAATCCACTCCAGAGTAAGCCTCTTCCAGCTTGGCTTCCATAACGAGCTCTTCAGCAATTTTCTGTTCGAGTTCATATCGCATAATTGCATTGATTATATGTGCCTGTTGAATTCTCATTCAATGAGGTCTTATCTGTCCCCTGTGTTTTGCACTTCTCAAGGTTTTCCAGAATCTCATGCATCGTAATCTCCTGCATTAGCGTTTTCAATCTCTTCTCCAGTTCTTTCTAAGTTGAATTTGCCAAAAATGCACTGATTTTCTGCACTGTGATTCTCTTAGTTAACTTTGTGAATATTGACTTCCAGCAAGCACGTTGGGTTGAGTATCAAAATATCTACTTAAGCTTTTATGCTGTAATTCAATCTATTACTAGAATATGACCTGTGCGGTTCACAGATATATGTAACTACATTAACGTTCAATGTATTGACAAGTCAGAATTCAGATAGAAATTGCCATTTCTCAAATAAATCCCTATTATTTAGCTTAGTTAATTACTTCTGTTAGACTTCAAATAAAAAGAGAATCAATATTCATTTTACAAAGAGAGTACAAATATGTTATGCCAAAGCGGGTTGTCGTACTAATGATAAATCACCACTCCATGTAAAGAATGATCCCTTTTCGCCAGCCCGATCATGATAATTAGGGATCTTTAGAATTTTAACACAGGAAAAGAGGCAGTCAAGGGTAATGGGAGGATTAGAGAATCTTGGCCTATCCACTGATCTAACTTAATAATCAAATTAATTAGGTACCATATAGAGAATCATCATTCATCCACTTTAATTGATTAATTAATGAAGAAATAACGTAGTTTTCTTCATTGTATTTCATCATTCCATGATGAAAATGATGACTTAGCATCTTATTTCATCTTATATATATGTGTTGGGAATATTATATATTATGCTCTAGAATATCTACTTGATAAAGTTAAAGAACAAAATCAATTCTCTTGTTTGTTATCAGATCATACTGAAATTCCGTTAGTAGTTTTATTGCTATTTGTTGACACCTATTTTGATGGCAGTCGCGACACTATTGTCTTACCTATTTCATAGGATAAAAGAGAAATTACATATATTGTGCTGAAAAAGAAATAAATAATTTCAACTTCACTATAACATAGATTCAATCTATAAAATTGAATCTCCTTTTCACATGTTGATGCTCTGTCATCATTTTTTTTTGTTGAAATATTATGATGTGTTTAGGTCAAAAGCAAGAAAAAGGAAAAAATTAAAAAAAGTATTAGAATCAGATTCAAACCAACCCAAAGAAATTGGAAGAGCAAAAGAAAATTTACGAGAGAGGCAACGTGTTCTTTTCCTATACAAACCCCATTTGTTTATAGGTAATATAGAAAGCGTTGATAGTTTCTGGAGGAGCTAAGATAAGGAAGATTACATGGGTATTGGGGACTCAAGCTAAATGCCAAATTTGTACTGACAACATACATATGGCATCATACAAAGTGAAAACAGACAACATGGCGGAATGCTCTTGGTTATGTTATTCAGAAGAGCTTCTCAAATCACTGGCTTCTTTCTTGGGTTAAATGGTGTTTGAACTTTTACTCCACCAATGGGGATGTTTGTTGTGGCTAAGTCCTGAAAAGGTGGCACGGTGAAAGTCCTGGATAATCAAGGAAAGAATTGTACTTCATTTCTGTATCTTTGCCACAATCCGGAGCAATAGTCCTTGAGTAGGTACTGGCATGGGGTCGAAAATGTAGTGATCATTTGAACATAACTCCCAAGAGTACTGAGTGACCAGATAATGGATTGCAGCAAGGGTTTCGATCCTCGCAAATTCGTTCCCAGGGCATACGCGAGGCCCTCCTCCAAAAGCGACAAAGCTGTAGGATGGTACTGACTTCTGGTTTTCAAATCTAGCAGGATCGAACTTTGATGGCTCTGGGAATATGCTCTCATCCATGTGTGTCATGTTTGATGCCCAGAAGATCTTATCACAAAATACCAAATGTATGTTAATCGGCTGGTTTCACAGATAGAGAGAATAAATAGCAGAGAATTCAAACACTTTAAGAGAAAAGTTGTTTGCATCCTTACTTGCCAGCCTTTAGGAATGATGTATCCACCATAGTCAATATCCTTTAAGGCTACCCTGAAGCCACCAAAAACAGGCGGAACCATCCTCAGAGTTTCCATCGCTACTCTCCATGTGTACTTCATCCTGGCAAGGTCTTCCCAAGTTAAAGGTTCTCCTGAAGTCTTGCTTTTTGCTATCTCTTCTTGTTCTGCAAAAGCAAAACAAGCTTATGATTTGTCGCAACAAGGGGAAGGAACATGCTTCTGAGCTTAGTTATAAAGTTGACATCTGGCTTCGAAAACTCTGACAATTTTTGTGTATTGATTTTTCTTACATTTGGCAAGTCATCCATTATACATCAGCAAAATAGAGATCATTCATTATCCTTACGCAGCTTGGGTCATAGTTCGAGATTGAACTGAGTTTGAACAAATTCTTCTTCGCCTGATTTTGTTTTCCTTCCTTTTTGGGCTGCAGGACTATCTCTGCAGATTCGACAGATCTAAAAAGACGCTGGAAATAGAGGATGTATACCTTGAAGAACTGCTTTATAAACGGCAGGATTCTTAGATAGAAGACGCAGCACGAAAGTTATAAGAACGGATGAGGTATCATATCCAGCAACCATGACGGTCGTGATATTGTGCAAAATTTCTTTGTCAGTCATAACTCGTTCGTTTTCTTCATTGCGCTTACTTAACAAGCACGTGATCAAGTCTTGATGTGGAGTTGCAGTGTGTTGCTCTAGTTTCACCTTCTTCTCTTGGACAACTTCCTTCAACAAAGCTTGGACCCTAGAGCTCGCACGGAGGCTCCGATTGTAGCGCGTGAAGGGCAGTTTTACTGGTATTGACAACATTCCCTTCATCATTTCTTCAAAACTTTGCAAGAATTTCTCTCTTTCCGCTCTTTCCTCCATACCAAAGAGAAGAGAGCATATGATGTTGAATGTAAGGTTTTTCATCAGGGGCAATACCTATAGGAAAATCAAAACATCAGTGTTACTTACTCTGCCTTTGTTTATTGAAGAGATTATGCGCACTCTGAGTCTATGCATTCATTCTCATAGTCAATACATGGGAGGCCATACCAGTGTGAACCACGGTCATATGAGAGTATGAGTGCACACACCATGTGGATCTTAAATTTAATATGCATTGAATATATCTCAAACAGATCAAATAGAGAGATTACATAATACCCACATACCGCCACTTTTTCCTTGCCCTGCCAGTGCAACTCGATGTGCTTTCTGACTTCTTCATCCATTTTCCCCACGTACTGCTTCAGGGATTCTGGTCTCAAGAATGACACAATAGAGTCTCTCACGCGTTTGTGATCTTGGCCAGTGAGTTCCATCAGATTGCAGTCTCCCAGAATCGCCCGGGTGGATGATGTTTGCTTGCTGGCAATCTTGCTGCTGTCTCCGCAGAATACCAACTTGTTTGCTGCTTGTCCATGAATGAACACCGTCGGTTTGCCGAAGAGAGTGAGCTTCGAGATTGGTCCATACTTCCTCACTCTTTCATGGAGCCATTCGTCTACCGTGTTTGTCCTCAGGGCTCGGAGCAGGCCAAAGCTTTGGCCTATTATGGGGATTCCCAATGATCCCGGAGGTAGCTTTCTTGATGATCCTCTTCTTCTCCAGCTTAGCAGGAAGAGAACTGGTAGAAGAAAGAGAAGAAGAGTGATCAAAATGTTCATTGTTGTGGGCGTGGGTATGTGTGTGTGGGTATGTGTGTGTGCATGATGAGGGGAAAGCAAGGGAATTATAGCACTATTTTTGTCAGTTTGTGAACTAGTATTTTAGGTGGTAGATTCCTTCTGTAACGAGGGACGACGATTACTATGTTTTTTATTTGGTCGGAATTACGATTACTATGTTGAAAACGTACTACTTTGATAAAAACAAATGGCATAAGATTCTGCCGATTTCAACAACCGGAGTTGAGTCCGGATGTGTATTACTTTGCATTTGTTTCAGTCACTATCATGAATTCAACGGAAGGGAGCAAAACCAAAAACCAACTGTTTCAGGGTCGCATTGCTTGCGGAGGTCGCCAATGGCATGGCCGGCCTTGGAGGACACCAAATCTGGGATCGCCAAGGCCGGGCCTGGCGTCCTCCAAGGCTGGGCCAGCGACATCAGACCCAACGTCCTGAGCCCGGATCCATCTTGCGACCCGCAAAGACAGAGAATGGGGGCAAGGGGCTTCGCTTGACACTCGAGGCTGCGTTGCTTGTGGTGGTTGCTGGCCTCGAAGGACACTAGATTTGGGATCGCCAAGGCTGGTGACGCCGAATCTGGGATCGGCAACCTCGGATCTGACGTCCTGAGCCCGGATCCGTCTCCCGACCCGCTAAGACAGACATCGGAGGCAAGGGGCTTCACTCGATGTGCAAGGCCGCGCCTTCCCATGCGACGTGCGACGGCTGGTCAGCGCGCGGCGGGCTAGCAGAGCCAATCGTGGTAACCGGGTCATGCCACCGGAAAAATCTAATGATTTGGACATAAATGATGGCTATTCTTTTTTAGAGTTTTCAGTTTTTTTTTTTTTTTGTAATCTTATCCAGAGTTTGTTTTGGACAAAATTTCCTGTCCGGCTGATGAAAAAATCAAGTGCTCGCCGCCAGGTCAAATTGTGACAAGCCAACAAGCTCACGCCCTAATTTGAGACTAATTTGGGCACTTAAAGATTTTATTTAAAATAAAAATTATTTTGATTCTTCTTTTGAAAAAATGATCCCACTTCATATCATTATGTGAAATTTTCCCTAATTTGGAGAACAGAAAAACTGAAAGGAAGAAGAAGATCAGTTTCTGAATTCCAATCAAGAAGCTTATCATCCTCCGTACCAGTGATTATAGTCGAACAAACACCTGCAACAAAACCATGAGACAGGGCGAAGAAGAAGAACGTGCAGAAAAGGAAATGGAAGTGGAGGTGGGATTTTGGGAAAAGGCAGTGAAAAATAGGCCTACTGCTGTCCCGATTGTTTTTTAACCCAGGAAGGAAAGGTAATTCCAAAGATTAACAAGTGAAGGAATCCTATTTTCAGCAAAAGCTGGACCAATAGTTCCTATGCAGTTGGGATATTCCTAGTGATGAAAAGATGTCACTTCTCTACACCATAACTCACAATCTCACACCATAACTCTAATTACGTCCTTGTGTCTGATTCTTCACACCAAATATCGCCTTATGTCATGTTTGGTTGGATTTGGAACTTTGTTTTGCGGATAGTTTCTGGAAGGAATGGAATGCCGCCATTCCAACAATCAGGGAAACTTATCTTCATCTTTATCACCAAGTTGCTAGAAATGCATTTAATATCTATCTATCTTTGAATAAACAGGAAAATTGTTCAAAAAGTCCTAAATTTATTGAATTTTTACAAATTCAGTCTTAAACTTTTCAACTTTTCCAATTAAGTCCTGAATATTTTCACGTTTTGTCAATTGATTCTATTTGACTAGTTTTAGCCGGAAATCGTTGACATGGATGTCAGCCGTCCTACGTGACACGGCCGATATTGAAGTGATATTTTTTTTTCTTTCTTTCAAGCCGGCAAGGGCCACTGGCCAACCCTTGCCGGTACAAGCAAGGGCCGCTGACCCTATACAAAATGAAAATGTACACCATTGGCAAAATAAAAAGGTGGCACCGTGAAAGTCCTGGACAGTCAAGGAAAGAATTGTACTTCATTTCTGTTTCTTTGGCACAATCCGGAGCAGTAGTCCTTGAGAAGGTACTGGCATGGGGTCCCTAACATAATGATCATCTGAGCATAACTCCCAAGAGTACTGAGTGACCAGATAATGGATTGCAACAAGGGTTTCGATCCTCGCAAATTCGTTTCCTGGGCAGATGCGGGGCCCTCCTCCAAAAGCAATAAAGCTGTAGGGTGGTACTGACTTTTGGTTTTCAAATCTAGCGGGATCAAATTTTGATGGATCTGGAAATATGCTCTCATCCATGTGTGTCATGCTTGATGCCCAGAAGATCTAAATCACACATTAAATTCCAAAAGTATATTAATCAACTGGTTTCACAGATAAAGAGAATAAATAGCAAATAGTGCAAACATTTGAAGAGATAGGAAAAGCTATTAGCATCCTTACTTGCCAGCCTTTAGGAATGAGGTATCCACCATAGTCAATATCCTTTACGGCTACCCTGAAGCCAGCAAAAACAGGCGGAACCATCCTCAGAGTTTCCATCGCTACTCTCCATGTGTACCTCATCTTGGCAAGGTCTTCCCAAGTTAAAGGTTCTCCCAAAATTTTGCTTTTTGCTACCTCTTCTTGTTCTGCAAAAGCAAAACAGGCTTATGACTTGCAATAAGGGGGAAGGAACATGCTTCTAAGCTTTGTTATTTAAGTTGCCATCTGGCTTTGGAAACTCCATATAATTCGGTATTGGTTTTCCTTACATATGGGAAGTCATTTATTTATCCATCAGCAAAATAGATTCATCATTATTAACAAATTCTTCTTCACTTAGTTTTATTTTCCTTCCTTTTTGGGCTTCAGGAATCTATGCAGATTGGGCAAATCTGAAAAGATGCCTGAAATAGAGGATGTGTACCTTGAAGGACTGCTTCATAAACAGCAGGATTCTTAGATAGAAGACGCAGCATAAAAGTTATAAGAACGGATGAGGTATCATGACCAGCAACCATGATTAGCATGATATTGTGCAGAATCTCCTTGTCAGTCACAACTCGTTTATTTTCTTCATCGCCCTTAGTTAACAGGCACGTGATCAAGTCTTGATGAGGAGTTGCAGTGTGCTGCTCTAGTTTCGCTTTCTTCTCTCGTACAAGTTCCTTCAACAGATCTTGGACCTTGAAGCTTGCATAGAGGCTCCTACTGTAGCGCATGAACGGCAGCTTTACTGGTATTGACCACATTCCCTCTATCATTTCTTGAAAACTTTGCAAGAATTTTTCTCTTTCAGCTCTTTCCTCCATACCGAAGAGATGAGAGCATATAATGTTGAACGTAAGGTTTTTCATCAGGGGCAATGCCTATAGGAAAATTAAAACATTAGTGTTATTTTTTTTTTTGGTAAGGAAAACATTAGTGTTATTTACTCTTCTTTCGTCTATTAAAGAGATTATGCGCACTCCTAGTCTATGCATTTATTCTCATGGTCAATACATGCGGAGGCCATACAGGTGTGAACACCAGTTCTATGAGAGAATTGTGCATACACCAGATGTCTCTTAAAATTGATTATGTATTGAATATATCTCAACCTGATCAAAGCAATAGTGGGAGTTCTACAGAATATTAACATACGGCCACTTTTTCCTTGCCCTGCCATGCAACTCGATGTGCTTTCTGACTTCTTCATCCATTTTCCCCACGTACTGCTTCAGGGATTCTGGTCGCAAGAACGACATCAAAGAATCTCTTACGTGCTTGTGATCTTCGCCAATGAGTTCCATCAGATTGCGGTCTCCCAGAATCGCGCGGATGGATGATGTTTGCTTGTTGGCAATCTTGCTGCCGTCTCCGCTGAATACAAGCTTGTTTGCTGCTTGTCCGTGAATGAACACCGTCGGTTTGCCGAAGAGAGAGAGCTTCGAGATTGGTCCATACTTCCTCACTCTTTCTTGGAGCCATTCTTCTCCCGTGTTTGTCCTCATGGCTCGGAGCAGGCCTAAGCTTTGGCCTATTAGGGGTATTCCTAATGATCCCGGAGGTAGCTTTCTTGATGATCCTCTTCTTCTCCAGCTTAACAGGAAAAGAACTGGTAGAAGAAAGAGAAGAAGAGTGATCAAAATGTTCATTGTTGTGTGTGTGGGTCTTTGTGGGTGTGTGATGAGGGGAAAGCAAGAGAATTATAGCTCTCTATTTTTGTCAGTTTCTGAACTAGCACCTTAGGTGGTAGATTCCTTCTGGAACGTGGGATGACGATTACTGCGTAGAAAACGCATCAACTTTGATAAACAAAGAGAATGAGACTGACCTAACAGAGAAAAAATGGATGTGACCTCTTGTTTAGTTATGACAATGGAGTTGAGCCCGGATGTATATTGCTCTGTATTTGTTTCAGTCACTATCATAAATTCAACAGTAGACAGCAAAACTGAGAACCAACTGTTTATTTGTCGCGTAAAATTCAATCAAACCTGTAGAATGAGAATTGGACTATGGTTTTCAGAATTTGAAGACCGGAAAGATTGAAAAGATGAACAAGATCAAATTCTGAATTCCACTCAATATGCTTTCATCCATGCGTGTCATGTTTGATGCCCAGAAGATCTAAAATCATACATTAAATTCCAAAAGTATATTAATAGATTGGTTTCACAAATGGAGAGAATAAATAGCAGATAGCGCAAGCAAGCATTTGAAAAGATAGGAATAGTTCTTTGCATCCTTGCCAGCCTTTAGGAATGCGGTACCCACAATAGTCAATATCCTTTAAGGCTACCCTGAAGCCACCAAAAATAGGCGGAACCATCCTTAGAGTTTCCATCGCTACTCTCCATGTGTACTTCATCCTGGCAAGGTCTTCCCAAGTTAAAGGTTCTCCTTACGTCTTGCTTTTTGTTATCTCTTCTTGTTCTGCAAAAGAAAAACAAGCTTACTACTTGGGGCAATAAGGGGGAAGGAACATGCTTCTGAGCTTTGTTATTAAAGTTGACATGTGGTTTTGGAAACTCCGACAAATTTATGCATTGATTTTTCTTACACTTGTCAAGCCATCCATTATCCAGCAAGACAGAGGTCATTCATTATCCTTGCGCAGCAAAATCACAGTTCAAGATTGAACTAGGTTTGAACAAATTCTCCTTCGTTTTGTTTCAATTTTCCTTCCTTTTTGGGCCACAGGAATCTCTATGCAGATTCGACAAATCTAAAAAGATGCCGGGAATAGAGGATGTTTACCTTGAAGAACTGCTTTATAAACAGCAGGATTCTTATA